CTCACTTGGGTAGTGTTAACCAAATTGCTGTCAGCAGCTGACTGACAGCTGTTCAGCAGGTAAAAGTACTCTGTGCTGAACCAAGTGTGTTACCAGAAAAAGACTTTGCTGATTAAATTTCCTTCAAATGAAACTGACAGTCTGAGATTTGCAGTATTATTTACATGCTTGAGTTAGGGTCCCAAACCTTCGCAAAGGAAGTTTCCCAAATGCATCTTGATAGCTCTAGGACTGCAGAAATTACTCTTCAGCATTTAAAGTTTACAATTAAAACTGGTCCAGAATTAATAGCTAAATGTAACTATTTTAGTTTGTCTCTTTGAGAAATGCTTAATGGCTTGAAAGACTCATCCTGGATCAAGGAGTGGGGTTCTTGGTAGGTCATAGTGAGGGATATGTGGAGTCCTGTTCATTCTGCAGTTCATGTGATGAATTTGGCTGTTCAGCTGCTGGGTGACTCAGAAATTAACTAAATTAAATTCTGATTAAAACTGGATAAATATATACATAAAAATCAAGGTTATTACAGCTGTTAAATTCATTGTTAAAATCTAGCTTTTACTTCAGTAATCTTCAGTTATTTGCCTATATATGACAGTTTTTATCACTTTGCTTTTCTTTCCCTTTTAGTTTATGTTGCTTTTGGAAGATGGAATACCTCTTGGCTTTCTTGCTGCATAAGGTAAGGTGTTACTTCGGTTCCAGTTCTGTTTGCTTCAGGTAACCCTTTTTGCATTACTACACAAAAGGTTTTGAAAAAGCAGTGCTCCATAGTTAAAATAAATATGTTATAGTGCTCCACAGCTGAGCAGCTTGTGAGTGTGAAGCTTCCCAGGTACAAGTTCAGTGCTACATAACCTTTCATCAGTCTGACCAAAATTAGAGCCTGTAGCCTCTCTTTGAACAAATACTTTTTGAATACTTCCAAGTGCAAAAAAACCAAAAGTTTGACCTGCTGTCAAATGCTGCAGCTTCATCTGATTTGGTTTGGACAACACTGTCTGGAATTTCTCTGCTGAAGATGTTAAAAACTGCTTTCCCTTCAGTGTCTTCATGGTGGCTCACCCACAGTTTCTGTACCAGGGTATATCAACAGCTGCAGCTTCTGGTGGCTTCCCTGTGGTAAAATTCTATCTTAATTAATATTGCTTGCAAGAACAGGAGGAGCAGCAGAGAGCAGCTGGTAGTCTTGCATGTGCAGGCTGTGAAAGCTTCTTGCTGCTTGGATGTTGCCAAGTTTGCATGGCTTGGGACAGTGTAAATAGCATGGAAGAAAGGATACAGCATAGGAAAACAAACCCCTTTGATGTGGGAAACACTGAGCTGAGGGTGGGCAAGTAGTGAAACCTTACAGGAAGATTGTTGAGTGAGAAGATAGGAGCAGGCATCTTACTTGGTGTTGCTGTAGATAGAGAACTGCACTAGGCAGCACATCAGGTTGGCAGGGTAGCTTGTTCTGAGGAAGAGTGTGAGTCTGAGCTCTTCACCACAGTTACCTGGGTTCAAGCTATGTGTCTCTAGGACTGGTAACTGTCAGCTTCTACTGCTAGCAGTAGGTATAGTCAGTTGGGAAGTAGGTTCAAATGCTATTTCAAAAATAGTAAAAAAATGAATGTGTTCAGTCTGTTCCAGCACTTGATCAGGTTTTGTCTTTTGCTGTAGACAAAAACCTGGAACCTAGTGCTTAGAAAAAACCCTTCTTTTGCAACCCACAGCTGATGAACGTATTAGTTGTGTTACTTATATGAAGGGACAATATTTGCATGGGCTCAAATAGCATTCATCCATTCAAATACTGATCGATCTAGAGTCTGGTGTTGTGAATTTTCAGAAGTGTAGTTTGGTTTTATTGTTGCAGATGACTACAGTCACACTGCAGTAGTTGTAACTACTTGGGGATCTCTTGAATTCTTATGACTGTTGCTGACCTGATTGACAAATCCTTTACTTCAATGGACATCTGTGCAACATGGTAGCAAAAGAGGTGAGCTTTGTGTGTTCTTCTCAGCTTTAGCATAAGACTCGAGTTTCTTCAGTTTAGTGCTATTCCCACAGCAAATAATCAGACTGATCTGTGCACTGTATGGTATCTGCACCTAGCAGTGTCTTCCTGATGGGGTGTTCAAAAAGCAGTGCTACAGTATTTCAACAGCTGGCATCGTTGGTTTTCATGCAGATGTGCTGGTTAAACTTGGTATTTCTGTTGAAACAAGTAGATTTAGTGTTTATGAGTGGGAAGCTTTTAAAATGGAACATCAAAAAACTGTTAAGCTGTTACAGGATAAAAGTACAGTTAAACTAGTGACATTGTTCTAAAATATTTTTTCTTAAAAGGGCATTCCTGTGACGTGTGGAACAGATTGGAAAGCCTCTACTCAGGTGTAAGTATTGAGGAAACAGTTGGGTTTTTTCTTAGGTGGAGGTAGTTGTATAGAGATAAAAGCTCAAGTTAACTTCTTGGCTGCCTTTTGACAATAAAAAGTATTCTATTTTGAAAGAAAAAATCCAAGTTCCAGATGACAACTAGGGAAGGTTTCTTTCCAAGTTACTGTCCAGATTTAAAAAACAAACTATTCTAAAGACATTGGGGAGTTTTTATGCCCCGTTCTTCAGCAACTAGACACAACCTGCAGTGTGTCTGAATTGGAAAACGTGGCTAGAAGAGTAACAGGTTCTGCTTTTCTCGCTGTACACTTAATTGCAGTGGTGACAATGAGACCTGTAACAAGTTAACTTAGTGTGACAAGTCTGCAAACATACTTAAAAATGCAGCTACTATGAAATCTAAGCATAAACATGAGTTGATGTGCCTCAATCCTGTGTACTAAAATAAGTAGAATTAGCAGGTAGAGGAAAAATACTTGAAGTACTGAATTCCTGTAGATGGTTTATTAAAAGCATATTTTTAAGGTGTCTTGCAGTGGTCTGTTCCATGCTTTCTTTGTGAGGTAATGCCCTTAGTTTCACCTTCTGTGCAATAGTGCTCCAGTTTCTTCAACTGCAGATAGACCTTGTTGGTAGTTGTGTGATAAACTGGGCTGTGGTTTGATTGCAGATAAAATACTTTGCTATGTCATCAGCATTCAGGCAGTGTAACTGGACTACTGGCTTCCTGGCTTCATACTAGGAGAAAAGCACCCAAATCTTGATGAAGTGCTAAAATACTGAGGAAACTTGGAAGTATTACTAAGAAGATACAGCAATTTATTTTCTTTTAGGAGGTGGACCTGAAGTCCAGTCTGAGCTAGCATCTTGGTAAGTTTGAGTGACTGTTTTTTTTACCTTTGCCTGTTTCAGGTCTGCCACCTGTCTTTAACTTACTGAGCTGGTTATACTGCTGCTCCTCTCTTACTGAAAAAATGCAGTGTTGTTTCAGAAAACATGAGTTTATTTTCCCCAAACTTAAAAAGGCTGTGAGAAAATTGTTGTGATGATTGGCAAAATGTTCAACTGCTCTGAAGAGAGTGAGTGAGAAGAGCCTTTCTGAACAAATCTGCTTAGTCCTCCTGTTGTAGGTTCTGCTGTTTCGTATGCTGGTTTGTAACTTTACTTGTTCTTTTCTGGTGGCAGGTACTTAAAGAAAATGAAGGAAGATGTGCAGGCTGCCATTTCACAGAAGTCTGAAGCTGCTTCAAGGGTTAGTGTGACATCTGAAGTTCTGCCTGTACCTTAAAGACAGAGGGGCTCTGTAGAGGGGTTGTCAATAGGCCAGAAGTCTCTCAGACTAAGCTTGCAAGTTTGTGAAGGTTTCAGGGACTGTTTTCAACATTACACTACTATAATATACTGTTAAGGGAAGAATTTATTTCAACTTAAGTTTACCCAAGGAATGGTCATATAAATTCCACAGTCAAAAACGAGGTGAACAGGTTAACTGCTTAAACTGATAGTTTTACATTGACCAGTAAGTTACATGTATTAGGAAATCTACAGGGAGGATTCTGCAGAGCTCTGTAGATAATTCCTATTGATGTTTGCTCCTCAGGTAACTTGTAATTAAAAACTTGCTAATATGAGGGAGGTGCTAATGTATCATTTACCCTCTTCCTTCCCTAAAATGTCTTAAAACAACATAAAATGACACTTACTGGGATCTGTACCAGATACCTTTACAGTCTGCTTGATTTTTATTTATCTCTTGTGTTAATTTATAGTACCAGAAGTGTTGAGGTCTATCCCGATGGGATCTTTTCTGTAGGTTCGCGTCGTTGGAAACGCCTCACAGAATAAACTTGTGGTTTGGCTTTACCCACTTAACTACCTGTTAGCTCTGTGGGATAAAACTGCAAGACAAATCTTACAGTAGAATCAGAGGAATGCAGGTTGCCCAGTGTTCTATTTCAGGTGTATTGAAACATGCTTTTGGAATACAAAATAAAAATAAATTTGAGTGGAGAAGCTTGGTTGGAGTAAAAAGTCCGTGTGTTCTGGGACTTCAGGTGCAGCTGACATTCTGAATGACATGGGCTTAGTCTCTTCTCCAGGTTTTTGTGTAGGCAGCTGACTTGTAACACAGTTGTTTTGCTGCTTGCTTTCTGGATTGGGTGAAACAGTCTATTTCCCCCTTTAATCATGCAGGAGTGATTATTGTTTTTTGTTTCAGTAGATGTAGGTAAGAAGAAAAGCACTGTAATGTCTGTTATGAAGTAACTTCTTAAACTTACTGCATTTTTGTTTTGTATTGAGAGATGCTCCACAGTTTCATACAGAGCAGCAATATTTGGTTAATGTCTTCAAGTATGTGGTTTAAAGAGTTAATTGCTGAGCAGCTCAGCCAGTTTATTGTTATACTGTTGAAATTCTGTTGTATTACAAAGAGTTCAAAGTAGAAGAAGCAAAGTACTCTAAAAAAGTATAAATCTAAACACAAGAGAATTCAGAAGCTGCTGTTCATGTTAGCCTGTTCTTGATCTCAGCTGCATGACAGTTTTGTGAGGAGTACCTCTTACTCCCCGAGACCCACTGGTGCATGCTAGAAGCTCAAATGTAAAATGAGCTGTTGTGGTAGAAGGTCTGTGCACCCAGCAGACTTCTGGTGGGATGTTCAAAAAGCAGTGCTACACCAGTGCAGGGTTTGGTATCCTTGGTTTTCAATCTGCTCTGTCTGTTAAACTTGGTATTTTTGCTGAAAGAGTCTTCAACAGCTTTCTGGGATTTCAGTGTACTTACCTATTTTCATAAAACAAATGAAAATAGGTGTTTCCATTTGTCTTCATTTTGATTATTGTGTAAAAATGCTACTGGTCCTGGAACTCAGCAAGTGCATTCAATTCTTTCTAACAGGTGCTTGAGGATACAGAACAAAGTGAACTGCCCTGAGTTAAAAAGAGGGAAGCAACTTGTGTGGCAGGTAAGCACTCAGTTACTAGTTCCATATAATTTCACATTTTGTGTATTAGCTTTGTATGACTGTAAATATGGTAACTACTGAACTGTTGTAGAACTAAGTGTAGAAATGGTTATGTAGTACCAGAGATTACTGGAGATCTTGGCAGCATCTGAGCAGATCACTCACCTGTGAGTCATTCTTGTGTGACTATACATACCTCAAATTGCTGTCACACTTGAGCAGCCATTTGTAGTACTGGTGTCTGAATTACTCTGCTGTTGGTTGTGAGGAATTCCTCAGTACTTGGAGCTTGTGCCACACTTCAGGCTTGTTCACAACTCGGGCTATGTAATGGCAGGATTGATGGTACTTCACTGGAAAAGATGGGCAGCTGGGCCATGGAGTGAAGTCCTGTAAGAGCAGTAAGGAGTATCTGGTCATTACCAAGGCTGCTGGGATGTTACTGTTTCTGGTGAGCTGTGGACATGACCATAAAGCAAATCCACCAGACTCCTGTGTTGCCACATGTGTGGCACCAAGTCTGCTGGGCATAAAGCTTTAACATAGGTCAAGGACACAATACTCCCTTCTGCTCTTAAGAGTAAGTTCCTCCTGAGGTCTAGGGATATGGCTTGTAGGGATGTATTCTTGGGCACCTTCAACACTTCAGCTACAGGGGAACAGAAGTTGCCATTGGGAGATTTGTAGATTGGATCCCAGAGCTGCTGCTGAGAAGTTGATTCTTTGGAACAGAAGCAAAAACCATAGGCTGTTTTCATGCAATTTACACCCAAGGTGCACTTTTCCCCTGTAGTAACTAAACCTGACTTTTAACTCCTAGGTCTGCCACCAAGTTGCTGCATGTCAGAGGGATGAAAAACACCACGTGGGAGCTATCAAAGTGAGTATGGAGATAAGGGCATTTACCAAAATGGCTGATACTATAAAGAAATTGAGGGTCACTTCAAAGAGGGTTTGCGTGGCTGAAAAACCAGCAGCTCTTAACGCGGTGACCGCATATTGAAATCCTCTGCAGGATGCCGTGGACACTCCATGTGTGCTATGGTCTATTTGTGAGGAGATAACACCTCGTGTTAGGCCTCCTGGGCTGGAAAAGGGCCTTACCCTGCTGCCTTTGGGGCTTGTTGATGCTGATGTAGAGGAGAGGCTGCTCAGTTCCATTCTGAAGCAATAACTCATAGCATGGGGCATTAGGAAACAGGGTTGCTTCAGTTGTGGTCTGCACAGCCTTGCAGCCCAGTTGCTGTTTGTGTGTCAAGAAAAGGGTGATGGAGCTGGGGAAAGGTCTGGAACACAAGTTTGATGAGGAGCAGCTAAGGGAGCTGGGAGTCTTTAGCCTGGAGAAAAGAAGGCACAGGGAGAGCCTTCTGCAACTACCTCAGAGGAGCTTGTAGTGAGGTGGAGGTTGGTTTGCCAGTTAACAGGCAGTAGAATGAGAGGAGGTGACAGGATAGGTCGAGATTGGATATTAGAAAAGTTGCTTTTATTTGGATTGAAAATAATAAATAAATATTTTTCCTCCCTTAGATCCTGGTGATGTTGCTTCAAGCCTGCTGTAAAGAACTGCACAGCTGTTACAAAGACACTTCTCTAGAGTTTTTATTGCAGCTTTTGGAATTAAACATTCATTTAAATTTGTTACTGCTTTGTAAACTGTAGTAGTGCATGTTGCGACTTGCCTCTTGGTCTCCCTCAGAGCTGTGGTAAAGATGGTTTTTCAGTGTTAGAGAAGGCTCAGCTAAACTGAGAGCTTTATCAGGTCTTCTCCCTCACTTCCCTGTCTCTGAACTGAACTGTACCAAAGCCCTGGACAGGTGTTCATTCTGTACAGAATATCACAGCTCTGGGCTGCTGTCTGGGGTTATTTCCTGGTGCTGCACTGAAATGCCAGTAACAGGTTGAGGAAATTATGGCAGCTGATAAATCACCTGTGGGCTTGGTCTCTTCCCTTGATACTCTGAGAAACAAGAACTGATGTGTGTGAGCCTCAGCAGTCCTTGCAGAATTGCCATGGTGAAGTTGAGACTCCTCAGGCTCTACTGATAATCCCAGAACTACAAACAGCCCCGACCTGACTCCATGGAGTTTACCAGCTGGTTCTGGCTTATGGTTCATTGCTGCAGTACATGCAACTGCACCAGACTGAAAGAAATGGGTGATAAGAAGTGTAGAGTTAGTTCATCAAAAATCTGCTTTAGTAGAGTTCCCTTGGAACAGATTTTGAGGAGGCTGCAAAAATGAGTACAGAGCTGGAGCGCTTGTGAAAAAGCTCAGAGCTGGGGTTCATCTTGGAGCAGAGAAGGCTCCAGGGAGATCTTTATAGAGCTTTAAGCATTCCAAGGGCATTGGACCAGAGGACCTTTAAAGGTCTCCTCCCCACCCCCAACTACTCGATTACTTGCTGTGGTGCATTTTAAACAGAATGGGCATTAATGAAAAGCCCTTGGTACTGCACCCGTTAATAACTTCAGTTTACAGCTAAAGTTGAGCTTTGAATTTGTCCTTAAAATGTGCTTAGCTCAGACAACTGGAATAGAAAACATGTCTTTGGAAGAAGTAAGATTTTTTAGTTCTCCAATTCAAGTGCTTTAAGATGTAATTGCAGGAAACCATACTCTTAAATCACATAGTGCAAAAAAGATTAAAAACTCCAGCTTTACAGAAGAAAAGTCTTGTCACCTGAGAATTCAAATAACATTAAAACTTTATTTGAAGATGTTTTATACATGTATATTACAAAACTTGGCATCTCTTTAAAATATTAACAAAACACAGGCCTTTCAGGCCAGTAGCTCAGTCTGAGACAATGAAAAAAGCAGTACAGTCCATCTACTTGAGCTTGAACAGGGACCACAGGGGTTTGGGGTACTCACTGTCTTACACAGTTTAAAGCTGAGGATTCCTAAATGGCTTCACAGTTCACCATTGAGGCTGTACCACTCAGTGGCCTGGATTGTACCACCACCACCCTGTGTCCTTGTTGCTCAAAGTCTTTGCCTGTCATGGTGCTTTCCAAGTCTTCTTGGCTCGCAGTTTCTCCAGCATTTTCTGCAAATAAAACAAACCATGAGACCACAGTACTGAAGCTGAAGTGACTGCGCTAAAGCCAGCATGCCAGGGGTACTGTGTAACCAAAACATCAGGAATGGGCAGTGTCTCCTCTATTCCAAAGAGGCCACAGATTACAGGGCATGGGGGGACGATGTGCTTGTTCCTCTTCTGTTAATGATGTGATCTGCAAAGCAATGTAACGAGCAGCCACTCATGCCACCATAAAGCAGGTGAGCTGGCCAGGGCTAAAGGCAGGAATTGGCTCTGGATTCCCCCACAGTAGTTGCAGCTCGTTAGGGTTATCCATCATTTCCTTCATTTCAGTTGTCTGGGGTGCAGCAGGGGAAAGGGAATTGACAAGCCCAAGGCCTCTTGTTCAACCCTGTTCCAAAACTGCCATCAAAACGCTGACAAGATCGTGCACCTTTCAAGACTGGGCATGCCCAGAATCCTACCCTACCTGGAGTAGACAAAGCAGCCCAAAAAACCACCATGCTGCCTTAAAATGGATATTTGGTCAAGTCTGGACCAAGAAAAAGGCTGCTATTCTTTTGCTACAAGCTTTCCAGCAGTTGGAGCCTTTTTGCTCAAGCTCAGGTCATAAAACAATTCAGCCTGAGGCAGAGGCTTTTTAGAGAAAACTTGAGCTCAGTTGTTGACAAGAAAACTCCTCATAGGCTGTACCAATGGCATCACTTAACATCCAGACTGGTTTGAGGGTCTCCATTTCCCCTCCATGCCACATCTCAATTACTCTGACTGGAAGCTCAGTGAAATCAAGAAACCAAAGGGCAAGAGGACATGTAGCAAACTATCATCACCTTTTGAAACTCTTTAGCCTTTTCTCTGTTTTTAGCATAAGTTTCTTGCCTTCTTTTTTCTTCATTTCTGATTTTTACTTCTGCAAGCTGATTATAAAGTCTGTGAAAACAGGAAAAAAAAAAAAAAAAGTCAGTGTCTGGGCAGGAAGGAAGTGGTAAAGATGGAGTAGGTTAACAAGCTTAAGGTTTTGCCCTGGGTCAGTTGCCAGCAACTGGGACAATTTGACTGCACTGTCCAGTAATCCAGAACCACTTCAAATTCTTCAGCTGCATCAAACAAACCCTCTCCCTGTTCAGAGCTGCACTTGTTGCCTGTTTCTGCTCCTAAGTGCCCAAGTGCAACTGTGAATTTGGCATCAAATTTCACCCCATGTCAGGTGGCACAGCTGCCTCAGCAGAGTGACAGCAGCAGAGTGACCTTCCTCAGTGCCACCTCTGCAACAGCATTTCCCAGCAGGTACCTGCATCAAACACCCCTGGCTCCTCTCCCCCCTCTTCATAGTTAAGCAGCATTGGGTCCAGCTGGAAAAGCAGACTGAGCAGCAGCTTTCCCAAAACACAGATTAACTGCTTTTTTTTTTTTTCTAATTAAACTTCTTGTACTTGTGTTCATGCAATACCTGGATGTACGCTGGTGCATTTCAATTTCTCCAGACTTCCTATCTTCTGGAGAACATACTTTCACTTCTACTTTTTTCAACTGATTGGCAAGCGCACCATTTTTTCCTAAGGGGAAAAAAAAGCCAAACATACCCTAAATTAAAATTTCAAGTTCAGCTAACTCAAAGGCATGAGAAATTTCCAAAGATTTTTAAATAAATCCCCCCAGTTTCACTTTTGATGCTGCTGCCTGTGCTTTATGCCATCCATGGCTCTCCACAGCCAACCTCAAAGTCCCCAGGAGCAGGCGCTACCGATGCACCAGTTTGCTAAATGTGGCTGTTCTGTGATAAGCAGCTGTTGTTTGCAGAGGCACCTTATGATGGTAAAGGTGGGCTGATTGTGAAAGATTAAAAGGCCCCATAAGGGCTTTTACAACACTGAACAGACAGCCAGACAGTGGGGGAAAACAAAGCTCCCCGATTCCCTGAGAAAACGTATTAAAGAATATCCCAGTTTGCAAATATAAAATATAATATGTAGCAAATATAAAATCTATTCTTCTAAATAAACAGCTATTGGAAGGGATAAACCTACCAGAGAGATCAGACTTCTTCTGTCTGCTTCTTAGATTCTCAGACTTTCCTCCTTGAAGCTTTCTTGCTTCCAGCTTTTCATTTTCTCTCTCCTTATTTTTTATTGTTTCTACTCTTTTCAGAGATTTCTGGATGAAATTCTGCTTTCTTTTTAAAAAAGATTTTTGTAAACTTCCAGGTGTAGCTGCAAATTCCAGCAGCATCACTGTGAAAGAAAAGGGAAAGTCTCCATATCTTTCACTTTTAACAATGAGCAGTAAGTCATGCAGTTCAAGGTACTTCTAAAAATGCTGAGCTTAAGCATGTTCATAGCACGAGGAGAATGGCATTGAATGATGAAGCATCTTGCAGAACCAGCAGCAGTTCAGACCTGTGGAATCCACTAAAGGTCAGCAGGTCTGCCCAGACTAATGCTGTGAGAAATACTGCATGAAAAGCATCTGGATGCATCAAAACATATGGAAGACCTAACAAGTCCCCAACACAATTAAGTTCTGTGAATTCCTGACCCCTTCATATTACTGCAGTTCATCTTGGACAAAAAAAAGACAGTATTTTACTACTGTTCCAGACTACCATCAGAATAGGAAAAAGGACAATTCTTTAGCTACAGCACTTGGGGGACTAACAGAAAATGAGAAATAAACAAAGGTATATAAATTATGACAACAAATCAGAAAATGGCACATTTTTTTTTCAAAATTCAGTCATTACAAAATGAAACAAGTGTAGTGGTAGAGATTCTGAAGTTTCATGAGAAAGACCCTGGCCCAGGAAGAGACAAATCCATGTGACACACACTAAACCTCAGTCAAAGGTACTACAGACCAAGCCTGAACAGCAGGATGCACTTGCCTAAGTAAAAGCAGCTCTAGGTTTTCTAAATGAGAGGTATATTTTGTTAATAATTTTAATACTAAAAAAATACTTTCAACTTCAGTGTACTGAAGTACCACATAATTACCTGCAGTCCGATGTGACGGACAGTAACTCTCGTTGGGACTCTGGGCTTTGGGAGAACTGTCAGGCCTTTGGAATGCTGAATAATCTGCATCTGGAGCTAGTGGGAAAAATTCTCTCTCCTGTTTCAAAAGGATCAGTGATTGGATTGGAAATGCTTAACGCACGTGACAAATTTGAGTGAAGCAGTACTACTGTACCACTAACATAGACCTAATACAAATAAAATACATGCTTTTGTCTTTATGCCTGATGCAAAGAAAAATCAGAAATGAATTTTGGTAATAGGTATGAAAAAGCTGTTTTCTAAAAACATTTTAAAACTTAAAAAGACAAACAACAACAACAAAAAAAACAAACAAAACACAAAAAAAACATGCCCAAAAAACCCAAAACCTAAAAAAACCAAAAAAAACCACCCCCATCTATTAAAGCCTTTTGCCCATCAGATTTCAATTGTATGCTCTTAATACAGGTCTGCAAATCCAATTTCTTTTCCTTTCCTCCCGCTCTCTCCAGTTCTCCTCATCACTCTCTTCCTGCTCTTTTCCTCCCTTTTCCCAGAGGCAGGTAACATCCACTGCAGCAGTACAGCCTCCAGCTGCCAACCTCCACCTCACCCATGTATCAACTACTTGATAAAAATCCATCCTTAGACACTTTCAGGAACTCTCTAGATGGCTCTTGAAATTAGTGCATGATTTAATCTAATCTGTTCATCTAACAGATGCAGATTACTTGGTTCTACATCAGCACCCAAACTATGGTCTCATTACAGCCCAGCCCCTCTGCAGTTTACAAAAGCCTTTGCTTTACATAAGCAAGCATCCAAAAGAACGGGTTAATTAAGTGTGGCATTTATGAAGAGCTGATTCATTTTCCCCATAAACCTCTAACTGCTGTGGCACTCTGGTATGGCTCCATCCTCACAAGGTGAGGGGGTTCTCCTTTTTATCCTATCTAGTCTATAGTTTTCATTTTATTCCACACTCTCCTTTCATTCAGTTTTCAACTAATAAAGTCTTGCAAACACCAGCAAGACAGTTTTGTTTTTTGCAGCAAGTCTTCCCAAACTCTATCTAGATCAATATGACAAGTTATTCAAAGGAATACCCCAAATCTAGGATCTGTTCAATCTGTCTGGAAAACACAACATCAAACCAAGATGATCCAAAGCAATTACAAAGCTTGGAGAACACAACAACCTCTTGTGTTTCAACAGTGGATGAACTGCTACAGTGGGGCCTCTCCTTATTGTAATTAATACTAAGTTCAAACCAGAATCACATTACATAATTCTCACCTTAGTATAAACATTACATCCAGATTGATCCACACATGCTGAGTTATCCATTGCATCCTCCTTAGTTTTCTCGTGGTTAGGATGTTCAGTGTCTAATTCCACAATACTGATGTCATTGGAGCTTATCAGGGTGAGCTCTGGTTCTTCCATAATACCTTGCCCTAACTCAGTCTCCTAAAAAATAAATTAATCAAGACATTAGTAAGGAGAAAAAGTAAAAACCCAGTATTTTCAGCAACAGCAACAACTGTTGTCAGAAAAAGGAAGCTCATTTAACATATAGAAAAAAGAAAACTTGTCCCAAGCAGTAAATGAAATACAGAAAGAACATTTGTATATCAGAATTAAAAAAACTGGAACAAATAACCCAAAGCAACCAAACAACTACAAAAAATCCCCCTCTCCACAAGTTTAAATTACTGAGCTCTAGGGCAAACTTATTTTTTTAAAGCTACATCAACTATTTCGTTAAGTTTGATTATGCATTGGTTAATTTATTTACATCCTTCAGGCTTCTAAATGGAGCCAGGGGCTGTTCAGTGAGGCACCCATGCCATGTAACCCAGCTGCATGAACACTATCACTTGGTGCTAAGAGAAGGAGATGCAGTAGGGATGCTACAGCTCCTCCAACCATTGTGAGAACTCAGTTCAGTTAAACTACTGTTTATTATCTCAGTGCTAGGATCTGGAAGAAGGAGTAGGGCAAAACTCCAGGAAACAGGAAATAGAATTGTAAAATCAACATTTGCCAAGCTTTCAGATATTAGAGGTCTAAAATAACTAATAAATCCCCTGCTTTTGGAAATCTGTTCTACTGTACTCACCCAGACGGGAATATGATATGAGCTTCTGGGCACAGGATGGGAATGTTTTCCATGTCTTTGGAATAAAGAACTGTTCTGCTGTACAACACTGTGCAAACAGATGTCTGAGTCTTCCAAGTTGGTTTCCTTGGGAACCCTCAGAGATTCTTGTCCTTCTGGAAAGCTTTGATCCGGCTCCTTTATATCCATATTGCACTGAGAATGCAGCTCCATAGCTTTATTTACTTCATCTACATGAACTGATTTTTCAGGAAGCTTCTTCTTATCAAATGCCTTCAAAGGTAATTTTTCAGAAGACACAGCCTCTTTTACTAACTGCTCAGAGGAAGTTTCATCCATTGTAACTGGTATGGGATCTAGTTGATAAAATGATTTTTGCTCTTCCAGACTTTCATTCCGCAGATCTTCCACTGAACACTGGAGAGTAATACATTCCATACTTCTTGACAGCTCTTCATATCCACTTGCAGGTGAAATACAGCTCTCATTGCCTCTGTTTTTAATTCCAGGGGTTTGTTCAAAAGGTCTCTGTGACACAATGTTCATATCCTCTGGCTGATCAGCATTCTGACAATCATCACTCAGAGTAGATTCTAATTGCAGTGGGTGAAAAGATTCTTCAGATCCTGTTTCAAAAATTGTCAGAAGTCAAACTTCTTGCTAACAAAACAGAATTTCCACTTTAAGTCTCTCTATAAGAAGACTTTTCAGTAATGTATAACAAGAAGTCTAGTAAATAGGAAGAAACATTTTGTTTAAAAAACTGCTTAAGTTTCCTCAAACAGAATACCATTAACATTACAGAAAACTATTCCATCACTGTGCACAAAACTTCAAGAAACAACACTTTTTGCTGCTTCTTAGAATATGTTTAGCAATGGACTTTGTGATGGTGCTGACATAACTACACTGGAAGCCAGAAGGCTTTACAGCTTATACTCTTTAAATGGAAGTCCTCTGAGTTGCTTTTGGGACTGCAACTAAGTCTCTAAACCAGAAAGAAAACGACCCAAAACACCATTACTTGGGCAGAAAGTCTTGAATGTAGAAAGCAACATAAAACTGCAACAGAGACTACTGTTCCTCCAAGGTGCAGTACTGCACCCTAAATTATCTTTCTTTATCTGAGCATAGAAGTCAAGATACCATTTTTCCCCAGAAGAGGCTGGGCAAAGAGTAAGACTGGCTATCAACATTACCAACATGACTGGGGAGGCATTTCAGTAAAATAGCATCTGCCAGACAGACAACAGCATTGTTTAGATCCCTTTCTTTTTTGTCCTAAGTTTGATAAAATTGGTTACACAGACTCCAGCTATCACCAGGCTTTTTATACACATGCAAAGTACCACAGAAATATTTAATGGTTTCCTTTAGACATTTTTTTTATTATTTGATACACAGAAAATATCTAATTTTATAAATAATATTGTCTGCTGATAAAGAGCTGTTAATAGGGAGGGAAGAATTACACTGCAACATCAGCCATCAACAGAAAATTCTGTGGATGATGCATTTCCATGTCAGCCTTCCTTGAACAATCTAAAATAGTTTTTACTTGCTTAGCCTGCCACTTATGTTATTTCCCCCCTCCTTTTAAAGCATAACAATAATTAGTTCATAGTTATAAAAACACTTAAGATTTTGCAGTTAAACCACAAAGACTGTGTCTATAAGCAATTTAGAAATAGAATTGTTTGAAGTTACAGTGGAGCTTCCTAAATCCTATTTGCTGTGACCACAATCACATCTTGAAGTGTCAACCTCTTCTAGCATTTTTTATTACTTAGCAAGTCACAAATATAACTGACCAATAACCTTTGCATTAGAACTACATCTATTACTTGAATTATTGTCCCACATTTCCTGCTCCTTATCAGCTTTTTGCTGGAGCATCTTGAAACACTGGAACACCAATTCTTGCTCCAGAAATATTTAGATTGCTACTAGCTACATTTGAAACTTTTAGAATTTAGAATTACATGAAATATCAAGTTAATTTAAATTTAACTGCAAAACATTACAAAATATTTTTCCTGCTATAAGCTGCAGTTAACTTAATAATATACTTCCAGTTATTAATTATAACACCATAGATCAAAAGGTGCTGTCTTATCATCCATTTCATTTTGTAGAGAGATAATACAGGGCAGTTTCAGCCAGAGTTTGTATTTCTTTGCCAACCAAATCATTGCAGAGGGAATAAGTGACATAATATCCATTAAAGTGACTTGAATATGCTGACCTGTTTTTGTATCACAGTCATACTGCTGAAGAAATTAACTTTAAAAAATTTAGTTCTACCATTACAGGTGGTAGAGGAGACTGTGTTTGAGAGTGGAGATAAGACATTTCAAAGCACGGCTGAGAGAAGCGAGATCTGTCTCCATTTCAAACCCACACTAAGGGCTGGTATTTATACACTGGCACAAAGCTGATTTTGAAAACTACACTGAACATACCTGGAGTAACATTTTCTCTAACCAGCCCTTCTTCTGATGAAATGTTTTGCCCATTTGTTTCAAGACTAGAAGGCTGACTGCTTCTTTGTCTGTTCAGACCGGAGTTTTCCTCTTCTAGAAATGCAGACACATTGGGACTTTCTGTTGAAAATTCCGAAGTCTAGTGGCATAAAAAAAAAATTTTGACTTAAGATTAATTTTCTCAGAAATATGAAGGACAAAAAGAATAAGGTAGTTTTTGATTTTTGGGTCATGTTTCTGCTACAAACAGAAATCTACATATATAAAAAAAATATGGGGTTTTTTTCTAAATAGTATAGGGAGTATACATTTAAATCTTACAAAAAACTTCAGCCAAAGCTTTCCTCCACCAGAGTATTTTCTGTAGTACCTTGCTAAATTCTCGACTGTGTTGGGAAATTCTGTATTGAGAACAGGATGATGATGATGATGTATCAAAGTCAACACTTGGTTCCAGAGGCTGAAAGAGCTGGTGATGGAAGTTTGGAAAAGGTCTCTCCATTTCAGGAGAACAGAGTTCAGTTGCTAGAGCTAAAAAAAAAAAGAGGTTATTTTAAAAACAAACAAACATCACCCACACCCCCAAAACCAAAATAAAAACAAACAAACCCAAAACAATGGACATATCACAAGTTGTGTCTATATACAGTAAATAAAGCCTATAGTATTCTGCAGGTATACAAATACCAGCTGTAAAAATGAAATCTTTACAGCATCCAATTCTTTGAATCTTGGAAGAATGCAGGTACATAAAGCAGTAAGAAAGTGCTACCCTGATTAAATTCTATTATTCTTTAAATGAAAAGGTGAAGTCCGCAAGTTCGCCATTCAGCTCTTGTGAGACTGGCTCAGAAGTAGTGTGGGCTTCTCAGTACAAAACTCGCAACAGAACAAGACCAATGAAGAGCCACAAGGATGATTAGAGGATGGATGTAGCACATGAGGTTCAAAGAGCAGCTAAATAAATGAGTTTGCTCAATTTTAAAAGAAGAACTGGGGGTGTGAGGGAAGTGGTACAAAAATGTCTGCTGTCTACAGTACAGAGACAATACAGAGAATCCTAGAATGCTCTGGATTGGAAGGGACTTTAAAGATCATCTAGTTCCCAGCCCCTTGCAATGGGACACCTTCTACTTGACCAGTTAGTCAAAGCCTATCCAACCTTCCAGGGATGGAGCATCCACAACTTTTCTGGCCAAACTGTACCTGTGCCTTAACACCCTCACTATGATTGCTTTCTTCCTAGTATTTAATCTGAATCTGTCCTTTGTCAGTTTAAAGAAAATACAGTCTCCTTGAACATGCCAAAAAAAACCCCCCCAAAAAACCACAAAACAACAAACAAGCAAAACAAAAACAATCACACACACAAAAACCCAAAACAAAACAAAAAGAACAAAAAAACCCCAACAAAAAACCCCAGAAAAAAAAAAAAAAAAAAAAAAAAAAAAAAAAAAAAAAAAAAAAAAAAAAAAAAAAAAAAAAAAAAAAAAAAAAAAAAAACCAAAATAAGAAAGTTATTAAAATGTTGCTTGGTGGCATAAAAGTATTGAATTCTTGCATCCTTATTGACTTTAAAATGTAAATTGAATATAAATATAAATAATACAGACCAATACCTAACACTGAGCAAGCTCCTCATTCTGTATGATCAGAGAGAAGCACAAAAATGCTATAAAATAATGAATACCTTGGAAATGTGTACTGTCCTCCGAGTAAGAGTTCAAGTTCCCAGTAGGTCTCCCCAAGATCTGCTGTATCTGGTTTTCTTTATAAAAGTACATCTCTCCTTTGGAGAGCTGACTTTCACATGCTCCAGAAAAATTCTCTTGCCTCTGCTGCAAGGTAAAAGGAAGTGAGGAGTTCCAAGGGTGGCTTCCTGTTTCTCTCAGAATTCCATCTCCTCTACTATCAGAAGACAATCCTGAAATAGTAAGTTAGATGTTCACAGTTTTGCATACAAACCTCTTACACTGTATCATTTGAAAAGACAGTGCTTAGTATCCTGAAATATTCATAGAGAGTTCTGGGGTTTTGTTTCTTTATCTCCTGTCAACACTCCTACAAACCCTACCACACATTTTCACAAACGTAAGTTGCTAATATCTAATTAGGGAGCAGTCAGTACATAGCACTTTTCCAGAATGTAGACTTAAGAAATACTGAAATAAAATCCAAAAAGAATTAATACTGCTATTTTATGCTAACTAGCACATCTTTACCTCCTACTGCATATAAATTTGTCAATCCTTTCATGTGATCTTGAGTATCTTCATGACACTCCACAGTGGTTTTATTCATGCTCAAACAGAAATTGCTTCATACCAACACTAGAAATCTGAGGGACCAAGACAACCAAAATCATGTTCCTAAACAGTACACCAACCCTTCTTTAGCCATAAGCTTACAGAAGAACTGCACAAAGCTACCAGAAAAGGTCATTACAAAGCACTGAGGGTATGGTGAAGACACAGCTAGACTTGAAAAATTTATTTAGTCAAATACCTTCTGGTATTTTTCTTCAAGAAAAATTCTAGTATTTTTCTTTCACTAAAAAACTAACTAAAAAAGAATAGAGAAGAAAAAACACAAGAAAATTATCTTAGAAATGGCTTTAGCTTTCTTACATCAATAAAACACAGACCTGTCACGAGTCATAAAGTTTACTACTCAAAATAACATCTCTTTGAAACATTAGGGTTAAAATAAGCCATTGAAATCTCAGGCTGTAAAAACTGTAATCTTCAAAAATTGATTTATAAACATGGAATAACACATATATCTACATTTCTTAAGAAATCAGGTGCGTGTCAGAATGATCCAAAATTAAGCCTCAATGTAAGTAAATCCAAGGGTCACTATCTAATCAATTTCAAACTCACTTCTATGTTCACAAGTAATAATGTCAGGAGCATTTACATATTTATTATAAAGGAACTAGTTTTGATTTTATGAAAAACTAACATCAAGAGGCAGACTACAGAGAAAAAATAGTAAGAACACATTTCCCAGAAAACTATTAAAAGTCAATAGGGCACTCAAATGACATTTTCAGAAATAAGTCATTAAGAATTACTGTGGTGACAAGCAGATACTGGAACAAGTCTCTTAACAGCAAGACTATCATGGCTCTGCAATAATCCACGATATAGATTGATTAGGAAACTTTTATTAATGTATCATTTGAAGATAATTTTTAAAACAAAAATTGCCACTGCTAGCGTTACAGTTGCATAATAAAACTCAAAATATCCTTTGCCAAAGCAGATGTATAATAATACTAAACTATTATAAAAGTAAAATATCATGAGCCCCTACGAAAACATTCTGGTTATACTCAACTCTGTAAGATATATTAATCAATCTTCAGTGAAGTTTGACATAGGATTATTTCAGAAGAACTTACATTCAGTGAGTTAGACCCATTCTGCCATGAAATGAAACTACAATTTTCCTTTTACAAGAACAACAAAACCTGAACACTCACCAGTGTCAACGGGGCTTGCATTCAACACTTCACTGGTTGAAAAGGTGCCATCACGGGGTATTTTTTGCACAAAAGCCTCTGAACCTGGCACTTCCTAGGATAAAGTAACATACATTACCATGTATTCACATGTTCAGAAGTAAAACTTTAAACACACAGATTTTATTCTGAGCTCAGTTCAAGTGTAGGAGCCTTCATGTTTTGCACAATCCGGCAAATATAGATTCATCCTTGCTCAGTACAACACATTCACACCCCATGTCCCAGGCACATCACCCCCAACAGCCCCCCTCATACACACATACATACACACACTCACTCTCATATAAAGCCTCTCAGAACTGCATATAAATCATGACACCTGGAAGATTGTTTTATCTTCTGGTGGTCAGATTTGGCTATTTCTCATCACAGACCCACTTAAGTTGAATTGTGGATCTCAGAGGGACATACATGTGTAACATTAAAAACTCATGAACTTTACAAGCACTTCCAATATTGAGCTTTTTGCACACAGTAGACTTAAAATCTATTCTACTAAATTAAACTAAAATATACAAAATCTTCTAAAGCATTATCATCTTTAATTTTAAGGTAAGCTCTACAAAGTCACAAAGCAGATAATGAGTGTTGTAAATGCAGGCGAACCCAATGCAAAGAAATAACAATGTCTGACTCAATTCAGAAGGCTGAATTATTTCTTTATTATAACTATGCTAAAATACATTAATATGCTATATAAAAGGAGGATATTAAAACTACATACTACTTTCTTTGACTCTAACACAACTAGTGACCCTCTCGCGAGAGTCCCGACACAGGTGGATTGGATTGGTCATCAGGCTCAAACAATCCTCACCAGAATCCAATCAAGCACTCACTCCAGGTAAACAATTCTCCAAACACATTCCACATAGGAAAACAAGGAGCAGAAATAGAAATTGTTTTCTCTTTCATTTCTCTCTGTGCACCTCCATGAAAAATCCTGAGAGGGAGAGAAATGTGCTTGCCACAAATGAGAATTCTTGTACTTCAAAATTCTGAAGAATTAGATGTGAACAGTCCTTTTCAAACTTCGACTTAAAATGTGCCCTAAGAAAATTAAAAATTTAGGAAACCCTTCTGCTACATTTCTCATTACATACCCTCTCTCTCACTATATATATATATATATATATAAACATACACATGTAGAATATTTACAACCCAAGGTATTTTTATATATCCATGTCATACAGAGCATGCTTTAAATACTGTTTTTATCTGCTACGAAAATGATGGAATCTTTGAGGGAGAGAAAGTAGGGAGATTGGTGCTGGTTTTGGCAAGGCTTTTAACACTCTCACAATATTCCATGATCCCAGTTTGGATGTTGGAACCTGGATGGATGGACAGTAAGAAGGGTAAAAACCTGGCTGGATCATCAGGCTCAGAAGTCAGTGACTGAAGGATTACACACTCTGTGGAGGTGGTGAACAAGTACACAGGTCCCTGTCTTTGGCCATGACTCAGAGGAGGTTACACCACACTTTCATCAAATGTGCAGATACATTAAGGCAGGAAGAGCATCCCATGCACTGAACAGCAGTGCTGGTATCAAGAAGGACCTCTGAGGCTGCCTCTACAGGAATGGTATGAAACCCAGCAAGGGTAAAGTCCAGCACCTGTGAAGAAAGAAGCCAAAGCACCAGTCCCAGCTGGGCCTGCCTGGGGAGCAGCACTGTGAAGGAGTCTCAGCAAGCTGAGTGTAAGCCCATGGTGTGCCCTGACCGAGGAGCAACAGCATCCCATGCTGTATGAACAGGAACAGAACCAGCAGATGCATCACAGTGGTTACCTCTTTACCTGGTGCTTGTTTTACTGCTGCATCTAGAATAGTGCACCCACTCTTAGCCACCCAATATAAGACAGATTACATCACAAAATAGTGAGTTATATGATTATTTTGATATGACCAACCGTATTATCAAGCCCAAATGATGGTCCAGAACTTGTTCTAAGTCTCTCTCCACCTTCAGCAGCGACAACTGGTGAATCTTGAGACACTTGAGAATCCTCAGACTGGGCTGAACACAAAAGTAACAGAAGCAATAAGGAACAAAAAGCCATTTTCGACTTCATAGTGAGCAATGCACAGCAGAGGGCAGTAACACTCCACTGCTGCTGGCCTCACTCTTCAGGCACTGATTCTGCCCATCCTTAACCACTTTCCTCTCACCTACGTAACTTTTTGCTGCACCATACCACCAATTCAACAACCAACCGGGGGCCTTGAAAAAACCTCCCGGAAATTCCAAACAACAAAAAAGAAACAAGAAAAACCCCAAAATCAAGGTTTGGCCTAACAAAAAGAAAAAAGGCCTTGCCAACCGTAACCCAAACAATTCAACGGAAGGGGGGAACCCCTTAAAAACCAACAATAAAAGGAATAAAAAAAAAAACAAAAAATCCAAAGGAAACAAAAAAAACAGAAACAACAAAATGCCTGAACAAAAACAAGGAAACGAAGCAACTTTGCCAAAAAGCCTCTAAAAAAAAAAAAGAAAGAAAAACAATATCTGTGCTGAAAAGCACCTTCAAAGTTTAACAATTCTATGATTATAACTTAACTGTCACAAAGAAATACATATTCTTATTTCCAGTATAGTTTTCAAGAAAGTGCTAAGTATGAAACTGAAATTAAACACAAGTGAAGTAGGCATGTTTTTTCCCAATTCTAAAAAGTCTGCTAATGACAGACATTTCAAATCTTCAGCTCTTATAACACTCTCTACTTCAGCAGATCTGATTTTTTTCTGAATCCCAACACTAGTTTGTACTTTGTATATGTTGAAACTCAGCTTCCTAACAGATGGCAAACTCTGATTGTTCTAATTCATACTATTAAAAAAAGAAGATATTTCCTCTGAAAAGCAACAGCCATGATGGATTGATATGATATGACAATAATAAAGATTGTGTTCTCAAAAAATATTAAACATTTTGAAACTCATTCTAGGGAGAGAAAAAAAAATCCAAGATTTCTTATAGCCACTATCACCTAGTATACATCTAGGAGAAAGTACAAAACATGAAAGGAAACACATCTAAACCACATTTGTTTAGAGATCAAGTACTCAGCTCAAGTCCACTCCTCTTCCTTTGAGCAGGATACAGGGAGACAGAGGATCCTGGAAATGAGCAAGGCCTTCAAGAAAATTCCTTGAAGAAGCATGAAAACTGTGATCATCTAATCAATTGCTATTTAAATATCACCATAGGAGAAAGAAATACATAGTACAAAATGCTAAACTTAAAGTAATAACAAGCAGTGTCTAAAAATGGCTGTCAGACATTCAGAAACTAAAAACTATTTATTTTAAAATTTGATAAAATGTAAATGCTGGAACAAGCTACCACATAATTCTCCATTTCTTGATAACTTTCCATCCACATTAGAGATACTTTTCTGAAAGAAGTTATTTCATTTTCTCTAGAACATCACCATTCAGGATACACTAGAGATGAGATTCAAGCATTTCATAGTCTCTTGTATATAAATTCTGTGGACAGCTATGTTACAAATATTTTCTTACTCAACTCTAATAAACTGTACTGTTCTTGTGATATTAATTCCAGGGATTAACTGTATCAATTTCATGCTATAAACCAAATAATATCTGTAAAAATACGGTATTTGGTGATTCATAAAGGAGGGTTTTTCAGTTCTCTCTTCCTCCTCTAAAATAATAGTGCAAGGTTCTTGTTCTTCACAGCATCCTGAAATGAACATGAGAATGTCATGTTTTAACTTTCTGGCCACCACAAAGTGACAAAGAATTTACGTTTAAAAGCTGAGTCTGTAATATCCCAAATGCTTCTTTTTCCCCCCAAGGGGAATGGCAACAATTATTTTAGGATGCAATTTGAAAGACAAATGACTGAAAATCCAACACTCAGTGAAAGCAATATAAAAACAGGGATTAGTCCAAATTCAGCCATGTAGACAAACAAAGAAACAAACAAAAACCAAACTGGTAATGGAAAAGACAGTCTGTTGAAATGCCAGATTATGGACAACTATTTGTGATTACTAAAGATAAATTGAAATCTTAGGTTAGCCTGGATCACAAAATAAAGTCATGCTTGGAGTAACACCTCTGTACAGAGTAGCAACACATGAAGATAATCACATCTGGAACACTGCTCAAGGGAATCACTGCAGATATACAGAGACAAGCCTGTTGATGTGTCCCTCAAGGAGAACTGTGGAAGAGGTGTATGTATCAAACCTAGTCACAGCTGCAGGCTGACTTCCTAAGGAAATCAGGCTTATGCTATCAAACTGCCTGTCTCACATGCACGGTTACTCTCTAATTCCCTAGTAACAGCTTGAATTCTATTGGCCCATTCTAATCAAACAGGATTGGAAAGAACATCAAGTGTCCAAAGTTCCCAACTCATCCTATCAATGAATCAGTGTTATGTAAAAGAGGAACTTAGATTTCAGACTCACTGGTGGCGCTCAATGCAACATCACTTCAGCTTCAGTTACCTGTCCTCTGGCTGCAACCAGCTCATCAGTTTATGTAGCACTTGCAGCCACTCAGTTCTGAGCACAGGAATTCATCCCCTCTAATCACAAGCAGTCCTTCAGACCCATTTTACAGACATGGCTGCCTTTAAATTTGAGAGGAAAATTATATAGGCAGCTAATTACAGATTTTTCAAAAAAACTGCCTGTTACCCAAGGCAACCCTCTTATCAAAGAAAACTCACCTTTGTTGATAAAGCGTCTGCATGTAAAAAGCAGACTTACCAACTTTCTCTTTTCATCTTTTATGTCTGATTTGGAAAAGCATGTGAGCAATGACTAGGTATTTTTACACATCTAGTGGTTCTGTAGTCATGAAAGCAGTACAACTCCTAAGTTGTAAAGACTTACATTATTTGGTCAAAGGTTCAAACCACCAAGAACATTACTTCAAAGAACAGGGTCAAAGATCACACAAAGCACTCATTTGCTCTTACCTGTAGAGATACAATTACATCTTGAAAACATGAAAAAAATGCAAACAATGTTCTGGTAAGAATCAAGTTGCAAAAAAAATTAAAAACCAAATTAAATAAAAAATCATAAGCAACAACCTAAAATGAACCTTAAATTTTTCCTTCAGAAACCCTGTATATAAAGTGCAAGGGATTGTAGATTTTCCTGATGAAATACCACACTAGTTACTGAAAGTACCAGAGAGAGCCTCACAGCCTACATGTTTTCAAGATTATTGCTGGCACTTTTGGTTGCTGATCTGCTCAAGAGGGCAATCCTCTTAAACACATAATCACAGAAAGCTTTAGGGTTTTTTCTTTTAATATAGATGTTCACATGAAGTTTCCTAATCCTCTTACATAAACTATTGCATTGTTCATATACAATAGTCTATAATGTAAAAAGGCACCACACCAAAATATTTTATATTAATTTGGTAACAGCTGCTCTAGCAACAGTTCTACAACTTAGAAAAATACCAGTCTTTTCTTCAAATATTATTAAAAGACAAAATGCTTTCATTGTAATTGAAGCTCAAAGATAGACATATTTCAAAAGGGGCATTCTGAGACATAAAGAAACAGCTGAAGGAAAATTAGCTTATATGTACTCATTCAAAACAACTCAAATTCCAAGTAAATCTGATTGAATTGGAAATGATGTCTCAATGCAAACTAAATGAAAAATTAAAGCTTAGGGCCAGTGATGAAATTTCTAGCAACGCCAGGAGATGTGTACTACATAGTTGTTTTGCTTGTGCCAATGGGCATATGCAAGCTGCCAAGTTTCTGAGAACTCCTCTGCAACTCCAATATTTTAGATGAATCCTGAAAATTGTACTGGACCATGCAATGCTGTCATCTTGTAATAAACTTCAAATTCCTTTAGTGAATGTTTTACAAACTAGTCCTTTTTGTTCTTTTATAAAGCCAGTCAAGTTGCCCATAACATGCTTAGTAGGTTTCAATGTCCCTGTAACAAAATTATTTTCAACATTCACAAAACTTTCTAACAAAAATGTTTTTCTTGATAACCAAACATCTTGTTTTATTTTATGGAATCAGAATAACTCTGCCGCCTATAAACATGGCCCATCCTCAAAGGTGTTCTTGTTTGATAAAAGGTCTTCACAGACAGACACAAATAGAGCTGAAGCAGTCCTTACACTATTACACTGTTGACCTTCTGACATATTCAGTGGAGCATGTTAAAAGCCTATGATGGCTACCAGAAAGGTGAAAGCAGAATGGACCTCTCTTGAAGACTGGCTATGCACAGATTTTTCCTAGACAGGAGAGCTGTCACAGCTACTTGAAAATCCCAGGTGTCTGGCTCAGCTTTAGCATTGTGTTAGTCCCACAAGCTGAGAGTCAAGGCTAATGCACTGTGAGCTGATAGTCACAACTTCCTAATTAAACAGAAATTGCAGATACAAAATAATTACCTGACACTAAGTAAGGCAATAAGTCACAAGGAAATGGAATGAAGCTGCATTTAGGGTAAACTCAGATTGGACATTAGGAAAAGGTTTTTCACTGAGAGGGTGGTCAGTCAGTGGGACACATTTCCCAGGGAAGTGATCATAGCTCTAAGGCCATCATAGTTCAAGGAGTAGGTTTAGTTTTAGGTAATCCTGGGAGAAGCAGAGAGTCGGACTCAATGAGCCTAGTAAGTCTTTAAATTTGAAATATTCTACAACTCTCAATTTTCGTGTCTGTCACACCTAAGACATGATTCTTTCCAAGTCTTATTGAGCTGACAATGACCTTATGTTTCTATTTTTTGTCTCAACTGTATTTTTAAGTAATTTCTTATACACAGTGATCCTTCAGTGGATGTCTACATCAACACATTAACACTCCAGAGGTATTTTTAAGCACTGATTTCCTTTGTATCAATACGAGAATCATTAAGTACTGAATCAGGAATGCCACTGGTTTACCAATAGGTTCCCACCTGGAATACCTGCAAACCTTTACAATTCTAAAGGTTACAGATGCAAAGCACATGCTCTGGACAAGAAACTGTTGACCAGCAATGAAGTGTCCTGCAATGCGGACTTGTTACCAAAATGGTAATGGATCCCAAAAGCCCAAAAGATAAAAACTCATTCATTCTGAAACAAGTACTTATTGAAACACCCTTTTTTACACTCAAAATTCAATGGCATTAAATAGCATTGCATGTTCTTTAATAGTCAGGTCGTATTCTACAAATAAACAGCAGCAAAATCAGCATTGCTGAATGATATTCTTCAATGGAGAGGATTTCCTCACCTGAATCACATGAAGTTTCCGCAGCCATCATCAACAATTCTTGTAATAATCTTCCTGATGGATTAGTTTGCCTTGGACTTCCATTAGAGGCTTTTCTGTCATAGTTTGTCATGCCCAAGGGAAAGGCGCCTCCATGAAGAGCATAACTGTGATGTTTCACACATGCAAACTCCCCAGAGGCTGAACTCTGAGAAGTTTCTCCAGTACCATCATCTGTTTTATCCAAATTTAAAACATCTGTAATCAGTTTAGTTATAAAAAGGAAGTGTTTCGCACTTCATGAGGAACATTAAGATGCACATTCTACTCTACAGAAATAAACTGCTGAATTTGTATGGTCTCCATTTTAATGAATTTAGCCATATCACATCACATATACAGGCTGAAAGATTATGCAGATCATAGACTCCTCAAAAACTAATTCCTAACTCCACCAGAGTATTTACTCAAAAAAACCAAATTTTTCACACAGCAAATCCAAGAAAGCTTGAAGTAACTTCTCCAGATCCCGGGGTAATACAACTTCTCTGCTCTGGTTTAAAGATTTCTTTCTCTGCAACCCAGCCCACAAATCAGCCCTTTCTGGCCACCCAATCCAATAAAAATCTCAAATTTTTACTACCTACCATTAGCAATGGTTTGATAATATAAGAATAAATCACCTATGGATCACGACAGTATTATACAGCTAAGTGTAAGTTACTAAGCCAAGTGCTTTTGAAAACATAGATATATTTTTCCAACAAAACCTTCCCCAACAGAACTTGCTATCTAATCAAGATATCAAATTAATCCAACAAGAACTGCTCTGCATAAATTGATGCTGACTAGCATTAACTACTTTTCTTTAATTGAAGCATGTCCCATATCAGCTGTTTCATTATTTTGCAAGGAATGCCAGCCTGACAAGCCTATAATTACTCACATTGTTCTGCTGAGCCTTTTTAAGAACACAACACGAAAAAGCTTTGTAAAATATGCATTACATTTTAGATGTGAAGACACATTGAAAAAAAATTGTTTATGTTTAGAAAACATGAGTTTGTTGTACCTGTTAAATAATGTTCCTTACAGAAAATTGCAAAGCATTGTCTGCAGACTGTAACAGAAATATAAAAATAAAATTGCTATCGAACTCTAATTTTTGCAATGAAAGGAGTGTAACTAAAAAAAAAAAAACAAACAAAAGAGATAGAAGAAAAGGTACAAGAGAAACACGAAAACAATACTTGAAAGAAAAGACAGTAAAGTCACTGGCATGCGAAAAACAGAAACCAAAAAAGAAAAGAAAACAAACCAACTTCAGTTAAGGTACAACACAACAGCAAAACAAAACAGACCCAAAACAAAAAAAAAACAAAAACGAACGCAAGGCAGGAACCAAATGAACTTTCCCTACCGAAAGAAAGTTTATGTTTTTCTAGACAGACACTCACAGAATAAACTTTTCCGAACTACAACTTTGCTAGTACATAAATTATACTTTAAGAAAGGCAACAGTATCAGCTATTATTTCCTAATAATCTCAAAGATTCTTCAGAAAATATTATATTCCTCCAATCTACTACTCATAACAGCACTTATTATATGTTTTATACATTACCTGTCAAAGAGAGGCTGCAACTCTTTGGTGTGTCTACCTCTGGTATAACACTAAGTTCATGTTGCTCCAAACCAAGCCCTAACTTGACTTTTGTCACTGGTGGTTTGGACGACCTCTGTTTCTGTTCTCTACAGAGAACTTTCTCAGACTGATCTGTAAAACAAAGTTTAGTATGTTGCAATAATATGTGTACAAACACACAAATACTTCAAATTAACTTGGAGAGATGGAAGAGAACTCCATCTCAGCCATAAAGCAATAAAAATTATAATGAAAAATAACGTAACTGCCTTACCAGTTTGCTCAACTGGACCAATGCACGGTGAAATTGTTTCACTTCCGTGAAATTTATTCCTGCCACAATTCTCTTGCTGGTAGTTTTCTAAAACTTGGAAGAAGTCAGTTCTCTTACTCCTGAAAGGCTTTTGTGCCTCTGTCATTTCTTCATTTGGGTACATATATCTCACCTTAGAAGGGAGAAGCATTTTTATATAAGATTATATTTATACACATTTATCAAAATAGAATTTTCTCTTGTGTGTATTCCATGCAAGACAATATTGAGCACATTGAGAAAGTAGCTCAATTATGCAGGATACCAGACAGATCTCTTAGCTCACAGAAACATTTGGACATGGAGGTATTTTACTGAGCTCTACAAACCTAATGTGCTAAAGCACAATTAGTTACATTTCCGGGCCTTTGTGAGATTAGACCAGAGTGCCCATAATTTTTAACAAGAACAATTGCTGAAAAGTCTGCTTTTAGTTTTTCAGCTCCTGAATTCAATAATTTTAGCTGCTTGGAAACTGCAAGATCAAAAGACAGGAACTACAGGGAACAGTTATTCTTCTAAGATGGCTTCTATTTAAAAAAAAGCACAAGGAGAGGCAAAAGGAGGCTCTTTATAAGCTCAAAAATAAACTTGGATTTTTCTTCTGTTACTGAGAAACAAGCAAATTACAACTCAAGACTGAAGCTGCCAAACCAAATTCATAGTGGGTACACACAAAAGACAAGCTTTAAAAAATGATCTATTCAAGATGATTATGATATCCTTTCAGGTAATACTTACGTATTGTTAATACAAGGGCTGTTTTACACCTGGAGGTGCATTTACAGATATGAAAACAACTCTACCTACAGGTGTTTCAGACAACAATTTCAATGGGTATTGCATTCAGAGACCAAGCACAGACCTTCACAGTATTTCTGTTAGACTTGATAAAACTGCACTCTTGGAGCTTTACAGGGGAAAATACTGATTACAAATCACAAATCCTAATTAAAATTTTTGTTATGGTAAATCACCTAGAACTATCAACACTCCATGGGGTACACTGTAGCACTGACTTGTACATTTGATCACCTACTGATGATTACCTATGCAAGGTGTTTCTAAAGCTTACCTGCTTGTTTAGAAGTTCTTTCAAAGCCTCTTGCTGTCTCTGCATCTGTTCCTTCAATTTATCTTGCTTCTGTAAAAGTAGTTTTTCTTGTATTCTCTGTTTAGAAAGAAGAGCTTCTCTTTGTGCATCTAGCTGCTCTTGCAGTTCTTTCAAATACTTTTGCTGAGCTTGGATGCTTTCTGATGAGGCCAACACTCTGTCCCTTAAACTCAGTATACCAGAATAATTTAATGAAGATACATCTCCTGCTTTTGATACCAAGAATTCCTCAACTCTCTGGGCTTTAGATTCTTCATGCACTAGAATCATGGGTTCAGAAAGATTGAGAGGTTGATCAGGGCTTGTTTTGCTGCTCTCTACAGATCCCTGATGATAGGCTGAAGGATCAGCCAAGGCTGATTTCTTCGTTACTGGCAGGATGGATGTCTTAAATGCATGCTCTTCTCCATCTTCTGTCTTGTTTTGATAGTTATATATCTTCTGAGGTAACCCTTTAGAGAGTACTGTTTCTGAAGACTCAGAGAAACTTTCTGCAGGCAATGTAAACCTAAAGTGTTGTTGGTGTGCTTCTGGTTGTATTCTTACTGCAGTCACTTCTTTCCTGACTGATCCTGATGGTAAATGGGACTGGAATGGTTCTCTGATGTGATTATTGGCAGCCTTGAATATTCCCACTTGCTCCTGTGAAGGACAGTCACAGGGCAAGTGAAACTCTCCATGCTTCAATTTTGATGCTTCTGAAAACTGCACTGATTTTCCAGGACAAGTATTAGGCACTTGCTCTTGCTGCTTCTGTGAAGATAGTTTTTCCAACATAACCAATGTTCCTGAAAACACAGGTAATGACTGCACATATTCTTGGGCATGAACTTGTTCTGATGCCTGGTACTGTGTTGGCTGTGCTCCTTGTATCTGTAGGGGCTGCTCTGAGACAGGCTCTAAATTAATGGGCTTTGTTTCCCTTGTGCTCAGAGGAATTTCAGAACTAGACAAGTACCTTTGCCTGAGTGTGTTCTGATACTGCTGTAGATTCTTTCTAGCTTCTTCAATGGTTTGTTTGTGCAACCTGAACAGAGCAAAAACATGGATCTTTTCAAAGCAGTGCAAAAAGAAAAATCAACTTCAATAATCAAGGAAATTCAATGACTTCGAACAGGCATTCCATAAAGACACTTTCCATTCCATAGATACCTACCTCTTTTGCTGCAGAAGGCGTTGTTGAAAATCACGTATTGTCTGTCTATGACTGTCTTCTCCTGGACTCCTGGTTTCTGATACATTTCCAGACTAATCAAAATAAAATAATTTTAATTGCACATATGTAACTAATTCACAGAAAACTATTATGGCAGCAGCCTTAAGCTGTATGTTCTTGCACCCAAGTTTACAGGAGCTGCTCAGTACCACCATGTTTGAAGTCTGTGAGATTTCAGCCTGAGGCAATGCAGCTAAAGGAGTTTCTAGAACACGGTCCACAGCTACAGCCTCTCTCTACACACACTATCAAAGTCAATGGTGCTTACAGCAGCTCAGCCTAAAGAGGTAAATATACCCTGCAAACTCAGGGAGCAATGAGCCAATGTAGCTGCATTTCCAAGGCAATCACACTCTCAGAAGACTACCAGGTGTGCACATGAATCAAGATTTTATATATAAAAAAGATTACTATCTGTCAACATCCTCCATAAATTCCTCTCCTTTAAGCATTTGTTTGAGATTTAAACAGAGGCAGATTTTTGTCTTTTTTCTCCCACTGTGATTTCTGTTTATCTTCTTGAAAAAGGTTATGTCTACATGAACAATCATTATCTGACTATAACCAGATTTTAATAACAGGTATTATTATCAAGGCTGCCCCTTGAACTACAGAGAGACAATACAATAGCAGAAAGTCACAATCCCAAAATCACAGAATCACTGAGTTGAAAGGGCCCCACAAGGCTATCAAAGTCCAGTCACTGGCCCTGCACAGCACCATTCCCAGGAGTCACAGCATGTACCTGAGACCATTGTCCAAACTCTCTTGAACTCAAGAGAGGCTTGGTGCTGTGACCACTTCTCTGGGAGCTGTTCCAGTGCCCAACCATCCTCTTGGTTCAAAACTTTTTTCCAGTATCTAACCTAAACCTCCTCTGATACATATGCATGCCACTCCTTCAGGTCCAGTAATACCACGTGAAATAGAAGCTTGCACACTAGAAAAAGAAGCTTTAATACGTACAAATTTCTAATTCACAGCCTAAGAAATAAAAATTGTCTTAACTGATATAGTTAAAATTGGTAAATGGTATTCTTTATTTTTATTATAATAGTAAATAAAAACCTACACAAAATTTTCTCTAATTATTCACCTCATGTTCCTTTTGGTTCTGATGATCTGTGGAATGGAAACTGTGGCTTTGTACCAGCTGACTTTGCTCTTCCTCTTTTTTCTTTGCCTGCTCCAAACTGGTTTGCATTTGGATCTTTAGATAATCAGCCTCCAAAAGAGCTTTCTCTTCCTCAATTTTTTTAATCAAGGCCAGCTGCTCCTGTTTCTGTTTCTCTATTTCCTCATTCTATCAAAAGAAAAATAAGGGAGAATCTCTAGAACTGAATGACAAAGAAACCAGACTGCTCACACACATGACCACGCCATGCACAAACTTTTGTTCCCAATTAAAGAAGAAATTCTATTGCCTGTGACAGGTATTTCCAAATTGCAACAGGCCTTTAAAAGTAGTTCCAAAGTCTACAGGAATAACTTTGTTTTACTGGCTAAATATTTCTAACAATCTCTGAGTCCATTTATTATTGCATTATTATCTGTTCTCAAATAAATAAAATGGATAAAATCAGAATCCATTCAAGATATATTATCATTTTCTGAAGACTGCAAAAGAAGTAATTTTCCTAAACTTACTTGAAAAATCTATTTTGCATTTTACTCAGTTTTTATCAGAATTCATCACATCTAAACATTAATTCAAACTTTACAAAAGCATCTGAAATAGCAAATGTATAACCACTTTGAGAGCAGTCCATAGCCTCTGAAGTCATCTGTTTGTTTATTCTCTTTCCATATACCTCTCAGCTACAATTCACTTAGATCTACATTTAGTGGCAGCATATGTGCTTTTTAGAATGGAAACAAGGAAAAATTTCAAAGTACTGGCAAAGATGAAGTGCAAAACAGCCTCTAATAACAGTCTAAATGGGCATGTCAGGAAAAGCAACCTGAGAAAATGCTGGACCTGAGAACAGTTAATGTGGACACAGAACTACAGACACCTGCCAGGTGCAAAATGGGAGGAAATGAAGGTTAAAGAAAGTAGCCACACTTTCATAAAGGATCTGTTGCTTTTTGGGTTTTTTAATATTACTATTTTGTCAAATTTTTGTTTCCTTGATTTCTGAACTTAAACTCTACAACTGAAGGTTGTACATAGACCCAAAATTCAACTTTTTTTTTTAAATTGGTAAACCACCACATAGGTAGGTCTCTAGGGATACAACAAAAATTAAAATACGATGAAACACAATACGCAATAGATTTAATGAAATAATGAAGGTATTCTTTTCTAAATGTAATAAATATAGCATTCCCAGAGACACAAGAAACTTTCTACATTTGCTTCCCAGATAACCTTCCTAGATAACTGAAAAAAAAAAACTTACTCAAAGTTTGTAAGCTTCTCCTGTCACTCTAAACACAATCTCACAGATTTTCCTACATTATTACACAGGGTAAATAAAGTTTTCAGAGTTGTGTATTGCTGACTATACCCTCCCTTTATAAAACAAAGATATTAATGTACAACTGGGATTCTCATTTAACCCTGACTACCCTTGCCTACAGCACTTATTACATTTGAAGAAACTGGGGGTTTCCACTCTATTCTAAATTCCAGTTACAGCTTTGATTTTTGAGAAGTATAGAAAATGTTACAGTAAAAGTTCAAATGTTGAAAGTGCCTATAGCTGCTGTATAACCTGAAATACTTTAAAATATTTTGTAAATCTGTTTTTTACAGCACAACTGAGGTAAGAAAAAATATAAACACACTTACCCACTTCTGTATCTCCTCTTCCATTCTCATTTTAGCTGCCTGTTCCTGAGGATGGATTGGAACTGACTTTTCATCTGCAACTGCATTTTCCAACATTTTCACAGAGTCTAAAATATACACGTTACTTAGCTGTAATTGCAGTCAGAGCAAGCCTTGGATCTTCTTTATATCTTGCTTTACAGTTTCCCAATATCTCTCAACAAAATGCATAAGCTGCTCTTGAAAAGATCTATATCCTACTACTCTGACTGTCTCCATAAGCTGGAAAATCAGTTTTTATATAATTTAAGTCTTTAATAGCCCTTTATTGTGTGTCTTTCTTGAATACACAGTAATGTCCCAGCTTCAATGGGACTGAAAATTACCTCTAATATTACTTGGGAGGCCAAGAGCAAGATCATTCTGAAGAATCAAAAGCCACACATTAACCTCTTGGAACAAAGAGGGTCTAAAACTGGCAGTATTGGGAAAACTATCTAACATTTGGCTACTGTACAAAAAGCAAGTCTCAATCCTGTACTGTTAGCTTCAAATAGCAGCACATTTTCCCCAAGGCATGGTTTCACACATGCTGCACTCTCCAATCCCCAGACATTATGTTGGCATAGCCATGTACATGATGGAACTAGATCACTTTATCTTGTTTAAAAAAACAAGCACCCTATGAAAACAAATAATCCAAAAGCAAAAAACCCAAAACCCAATGCCACAACTTGATTATTTGAAAACTTCAGAAATTCTACCCAACATACAAGATCACCAACTCGGCATTAGCCTAACCAGAAGGGCACCAAGGACAGACATGGGAAGTAGCCCAAGATAATTTGGCTATCAAACAAACTGCAGTGTCTAATTGCTATAAATTCCAATTTTACAAAAAGGTTTCTTTAATGGTGCCTAAAAGCAGAAAAAAACTCCACTCATCAGCTTATACTTGTCTTGGGCATTTATAGCTGTGAATCTCCAAAGAAAGTGGCTTTTCACAGGTACAGAAATTCAATGCTGACTCCTGCACTGAGAATTCTATCCCTGGAGGCAAACACCTATTAAGTACAGCAATACCAAGTGTGGCAACAATTTGAGTGAGATTTGAAAAACAGCAAGGTATTTTGGACATCTGTTCTCTTCAAGATCTCAATGGACAAGTTGGACATAAGAGCAAAAACCTCTCAAATATGTGGTTTCAACAAATCCACAATACCTTGTGGGCACAGATAGGAAACTGTACTTTTATTCAATGTGACAAAACACTTAACACTGGAAGTTCATTAACAGTTTTGTCACAGTCATTGTCATAGCTCCCCCGGTACAAGTCTTTTGCTCCTACACAACAAACTTTCATGCAAGTATGTACTGTGTACCTTTGGCTTCAGACACTGTATTTTTCTGCTGCTCCTTGTTAAGTTCTAAATCACATAATGGTCTATTTTCACTAGCAATTGTGCCTGATTCAATAGTTTCAAAATCACTTTGACTCTCTTTCTCACTTTTTGACGTCCACTCCTCTTTTTGGCTTCTAATTTTGTTCAACAATTTCTTTAAGGCAAGTTTTGATCGAGGTTGACAAGCTTTTCCTTCTTCATGCCCTAGAAAGAATAGATACTGTTAAGAGTTTTGGATAATGAATATCTTAATATCATAAAAAAGCCCTCTATTTCCTTTCTATTGCTTACAGAGTTGGACAAGTAGCTTAGATGTATTTTTAAAATCTTAGCAGAATTTTCTCTTACTTGCAAAAGAAAAACAGTAACTTGTCTCTGCAAGCTATAAAAGAAGGACTAAACTGGATGCAGTGTTTTATAGTCAAACTGTAGCAGAAATATGCAGTACTATCCCAACACTTGCCCTCTGCTTTCTATCAGCACTGGAAGCACAATGCACAACAGACCAAACACCAGACTGTGCCACCCAAGGGATGCAGAAGTGCTTGGTCAAGCAGCAAAGTTCACGGAGACATTTCTGGCTCGCATCGTATGACCCTGGACAACACAAACAAACAGGACACACTCATGCATTCATTCCGGCCTACTCACAATGTGCAGCAGCTCAACCATAAACCTGAACATAAGACATACAATAAGCAGACTATAAAGCTTTGAAATATCTCAAAATCTTAATTTCACACATCAGCATCAGTCCATAATTTATACTAAGCATACAATAATCATTATGACTACTAACAGTGTAGTTCTTACAATTGAAAATTATTCTCAGCATACTAATAAACTGAAGCATATCAGAGAAAGAAGCCACATTGTCATTTTTAAATTCATAATCATTAGGGTATTAACCTCTATACTAAACATAAACCAAATTATACTGAATTACTTTACGCACATTATGAAGTTTTACTACTTAGGGCATTTTACTTATTACTAAAATTTATTTGATATACTAATATTTTCTAATATAAAATGAAAAGGTTTAATTTGAATATGCAGTTTAGAATTTTTACTTTCTGGTTCATTAGGGACCTCCTCTTCTATCATATGTCCTGATTCCTGTTGAGTATCACAAGGAAGCTCTGGTTGAGTGTCACAAGCAGATTCATGTTCCAAGGAGATATCAAGATCATTATCTCGAGCTCTGTCAGAAGGAGCTGGCAAAGGTTGTGGCTCAAACTGCAGAATCAGGTCTCCTTTCATGTCTAATTAAAATAACACAATGAAATAAAATGACCATTTGGAATACAAATCCAACAACATTGCAAGACTACACTCACACACAAATCCCCAGGAAATTCAAATATCAAGAGATTATTTTACAACAAATCTAATCCATCTTTTTTTTCCCACCAAAATACAAGATTCAAAACTGTTTAGATCAATAGCCATCTATTCATTCAGAACCGCCACAGCAGTTTCCACTAGAATATGCTATGTTTTTCAAAATAAAAGTTGATGTGGTGAAAGGCTTAGCTTTACACCAAAAGCAGCTCACAAGAAAAATTACACATGATCCCAATAACTTCATCATGGAAAAGATACACGCTGACCTGGCTGTTCACAAGGCTGCCACAGGAGAGTGATCACACAGTCCAGGTGTGAAATCCCAGAAGACTGCACAACAGGAATTCCCCTATGATCACCTCACTGACTGAGGGGGTTACTGCCTACAAGGGATGTGGCACACAGGGGAAGAACACCTTGAAATTCTACGCTTGTTACATATACTTAGGGGAGAAACCCAAGGCAGGGAAAGGAAAGGATCAAGTTAGTCAGGGGCAGAAGCACTATGAGATAAAAGTGCAAAAATAGTGAGATAAAATGAGACAGTCAGTCCACTGGTCTGGCCATGCACTGTACCTGACAGTCTATTCTGTTTTCTCACTAAATTCCAATTGTAGCTGTTTTTCTGCATGAGGAACACTGTGTTTTGTATGCATGTGCATACATAGATATGTAAGGGCCAGTAACTGGAACAGGGACCAGAAGTCACAGATGCACCTGTGTCTAGAGCATTGCTAACTGCAGAGGCTAAATGCATAATGAATGCATTTAGTTGGGTATGAGTATCAGCATGCAGTGGCTAGCAAATCACAAGCTAGACTAGCTAGCAAGAATGGTAAGAGGCTTAGGAGTTATACATCAGTCAGCTCTAAGACTTGGCTGGGTATTGTAGAGGCCAGGGGAGCTTACAAACTGTCTAGGAAAGGGATCAGGAGATCCAAGCATTGAAGAGGAGAGGAAGGGATCCTAAGAAACCTGCTAGCACATGTGTGTGCATCTTCAAGACTACAAGAGGATTCAGGGTCAGCTACTGGGTAGACTGAGTATATAAGGTCAGTTCCCACAGAAATCCATAGCATGTACATGTCTGTTCATATGCTCTCATGCCCAGCTGGATCTGTGCAGTAACAACTGGAGAAGAGCAGCAGATCTTGGGGGTTCACAGGCCCAGCAGCCAGCAACTGGGAAGACTAAGGATCAAGGGCCAGCTGCCAGGTAAGAGCAAGTGTCTAAGTGATCCATAGCACATATTTGAGCACATGAGCATTTGAGTACATACATGAGTATGAGATGTAATGTTAAGGCTCCAGGGCCCAGCATGAATCACTGGACTCTAGACTAGGTGTCTGAAACCTGAGGAGGATCTGCAGTTGGCAGAGAGAGACCCAGGATACAGGGGACAACTCCTGGATAGACTGAGTGTCTAAGACCAACTGCTAAAGGGATCCATACCATATTACACACATATATCCCACAAAAGGCCTTCATGTTGATCAGCCAGAGCAGTAAACAGAAGAAAGCCATTTGTGCTGTTTGTACTTATGTGAGTGCTGCTTTTCCTGCTGGCCTGCAAGGCCAGCTATATGGATGTGCCCTGGAAGGCTGTTTGTGTGCATGCCAACTAGGAATACACACACAGCTTCGCTACCAGCTGTACAGGGAAGAGGCTGCTGCAGCAGCCTCTCCTTTACTGGGCGCCAGATTCCAGCAATCTCCAACAAAGAACTTACTCCTGTCTTCACTGCACATTTCTTCAAATGCAGACTCCAGCTCTCTCTGCCATTCTTCTTTTATTTCCATGCGTTTGTATGGTGGCACTGAAAGCTGAGGTGGCATCTGTGCGACAACCTGTCTCCTGCGCATCCGCTCCTGAGCATGCATTTGCTCCAGTTCTTCCAGGAGTCTTTCCCTGTCCTTCAAGAATGAAGAAGGGATAACATAAATCTTCAGTGCTCACATTCAGACAGCCACATATCAAGACTGATACAAAATGCTTCCATTTGGTTACCATGATGTTTGGTTAATGTTCAAAGTTAATCTTATTCTCGGGAGAAAGTGCTTCCTCAGGAGAAAGCAGTATCAGCCCTTTAGACACAGGAGTCATCAATACTACCTAGAAGATCCAATGTTAAATACAGGATCAGACTCTACACCTGCAGGCCAACTTTACTCAAGATAATTAAATTTCCTGTTTTATAAGGTAAATGAGTATTTCTTTTGCCAAGTGACTTTTGCTAGTATATAATTCAGCAGTTGCTACTTTCTAAGATGCAAACTAAATACTCTTTGGCACATTGAGTATACGTGAGAGCTATTTAAAAAAAAAAAGAAAAAATACATTTGTTGACATTTTTTTTTCCTGTTAATTTCAGGAGCACCAGTAATATTTCCAGAAATCCCCATTTTAGTTTGGTTACTCATTCAGGGCCAATCATATCCCAGCTGATAAAACATAAGCTTTGCTTTTTCTAAACAATAAAAATTCATGTGAAGCTATCAGATCACAAAATTTTTTTGAATGTAGATCTCAGTACAAAGACTTTTCTTAGTAGTTCAATTTTTATTTCTTAAAGGAAACTATTTCAACATTTCCAGACTTGCACACTAACAGAATATCAGTCTTCGAGTAAAAACTTAGGAAAGTTTTCAAAAAATAAAAAAACTTGTTACCTTCTTAGTAATATTTTTTCCACTGAAGTACCAACTCCAACTACAGCTAATGTGGAAAAGCAGAACTCATTACCTATTAAAGTTTGCTTGACTATTGTTTAATAGCTGGTCAAACATTCAGATAACAAAAATTAAGAGGATGTTCTATCATTCTCACTCCTTCTAGATGCTAAAACAAGCAAACAGATTTTGATTTTTTTTTCCAATGACATTCTGCAAACTTTATTTAGTCCATCAATTTCCCTCCTGTAAATGTAATTCCTTTATTAATCACCTACCTACAACTTATTTAACAGTGGCTGTTCTGACATTAAAAACAGACATAACTGCTTTGCCTACCTTGGCCAATTGGATCTTCTTCAAGGCGTGACTCCCTCTAATATGTGCCTTTTCAAGCTGCTTTCTTCTTTCCCTCTCTGCCTCCCTGCGTAGTTCCTCCAAACGTCTCCCTTCTTCTTCAGCAGCTAAATGAGCATCTGGCTGGCAGTCAATCAATAGTTTAGTCCATGAAGTTATTTGATAGTTTAAAGCATATGTAGCAATAAATAAATGAATACTTCTGCAGCAACAGCATTTAAATGACATACAATGCCATATGAACATCCTTGAATGTTTATTTTGCAAGCAGGATCAAAATAACTTTTTACCTTTGGCAAAAAATTCATTGTGACGTATTTTGTAAATTTAGGTGACAAAGTATTCCAGTTTCAAGCTGTACCAGGGACAACCATTTATATGATTTGTTATCACAGAGTGGTTACTTTTCCTACAATACTGATATGCTCAACATTACAGATTGAATACTTCAATCCTCATGCTTTTGTTTTAAACAAGGGGGAAAATGTCCCTGAAATATCTTCAATCTTATTTGGGAAACCAGAAACAACCTGCAACTTTCAAAGAAGAAAAATCTTCCTAACATAAAAATATACTTAGGAATAAAAAAAAGTCATTTCAAATAAGCAAGGAAAATACAAGGCAAATCTGGGAGTACATTGCTAAAGAGGGGAAGAGAGAAAACCAGGGCAACTGCACCTATCAATTCAGCATAAGGCACAAGTCTTCCAGTTTGGGTGTTTGAACATTATACCAGTCTTGTGATCTCACCTTCCAATAAAAGCCTGTTCACAAGGGACTGCTAGCTGTGATCCCCTAAGTGACTGAGCACATAACAGGCTTTAGAAGCCTGCCCATCTGAGATTCTCTTCAGTAAGTAGTATAAGCTGCTTTATACAAGTTATCTTTAAACAGGTGCTAGAAAATCCATCGGCTGATATCCAGACAATGTATGCAATGTAAAGAAACATGAATGTAACACTATAGCACAAACACTTGGAGTTAATCACCTGCCCTCCTTCCACTTCTCTGTCCACCAAAGCTTCAGCAATATGGTAACGTGTAACAGAAAAGTTGTCAGCACCACAGGTCTTCATCCCAAGGATCTTTTTCACTTCAAAACTCTAGGAAGAAAAGTACAACTACAGCTGTATCACAGAACAGTAGCTCCACCAAAGCAACTAAACAAAAGTGATCTGTATACCAAAATTATTATAAAAAGAAACCCACCCCACCAAATTATGTCCTGAAAATAGTGTTTAAAACCTTATATACATGTGATAATTAATAAACCACATCAGCACAAGACAGATCTAGAGGGCTTTTATAATGGAGAGCATATAACAGTCATAGGCAAACCCTTACACAGATATTGATGCTCATCAGTGTCATGTTTCAAAAGCACTAATTTAAAAGCACTTGAGTTTAATGCATTAATACAAATCCCACTTACAACAGCTGTCACATTCACCTCAGAGCAGGGTAACCACAGACCCACAAAATAATTATACCCAACAACTAAGCAAAACTTCTCAAGTACAGACTTGCTTTAGGAAATTCAGAGCTATTATGTCCAATTTATTAGTTGACTAGAGAAAAGAGCATTTTCTGTAACTTCACTGAAAAATAGCATTGTATGTCTATTCATATAATGCTAAGTTGCTGTGGTTTTTTAGAAGTTTTGGGTACACTAACACGTTTCAACTCTTTTCTGGAAATTTGAACAATAAACCAACAGACCCTCCCTCTTCTTTGGCTTAGCCTCATGTTCTCAGTAGCAAAGGAGCCAGGTTAGGTTATTCAATATCCTGTTGGACCTGTCTTTGTACTTAACATTTCCTCCATTAATTTTCTCTCAGCTTCCTCTTCCCTCAACCTCCTCCTAAAAAGGTGTTCTTATCCACATTAACTAAACTGGAAAGATTCATAGCTTGAGTGCTCTAAAACTAACATGATCATAAAGAAATGCACACACAAAGAGCAGCATTAAGTCTCAGGAATATCTTAAACTTATCTCTGCATAAGAAGAGACATACAAAACTTCAGTATTGACAATCACTATTTTATGAAGACTGTAGAAAGTAAAGTCTTTAAATGAAAATAAAATAATCATATAATCACTTATATTGGAAAAAATCTTCATCAAGTCCAACTATGAACTCAGCACTGCCAAGTCCACCACCAAATCATGTTCCTGAGTGCCACAACTCACATCTTCTAGGTATCTCCAGGTAATGGTGACTCCACCACTTCCCCAAGCAGCCTGTTCAGTGCTTGATGAGACAGCAAAGAATTTTTTCCTAATAGCCAGTCTAAATTTCCCCTGGTGCAACTTGAGGCTATTTCCTCTTTTCCTCTCACTTGTTACCTGGGTGAAGACACCCACCCTTGCCTAGTTACAATCTCCTTTCAGGCAGTTGTAGAGAGTGACAAGGTTCCCCCTGAGCCTCCTTTTCTCCAGGCTAAACACCCCCAGGTCCCTCAGCTGTTCCTTTTCAGCTTTGTGCTCCAGACCCTTCCCCAGCTCTGTTGCCCTTCTCTGGACACACTCCAGACCCTCAATGTCTGTTTTGTCCTAAGGGACCCAAAACCGGTAAAATTACTTCTAGCGTTATCAACACAACTTCAGTAACTTATTTTATGGTCCTTAAACGATATTTTTGCATGTTATCCTAGTAGATTAAAGAAAAAAAAGAAACTGCTAAATTTCTTAATCAATACTAATAATAGTAATTGTAACAGATCAACACTTGCAGATACTGATTATAGGTTTGAGAACAGACAAGTCCCAGGCCTAAACCTCATTAGCCAGATTACCAGTGCTTGCCCTGTACTGGGTTACTTTCAGAATGTACAATTAAACACCTCTCCTGAATTATTTAAAATTAACAAACTAATAAACTATTAAAAACTAATAACAAATAATTATTAATTACATGTAGTCAATCAAATTGCCAGAATTTTATTCAAAAGCTGTGATGATGTGAGAATTATGTTGGAGACTGCAATTTTTTAATCAGTGTCAAAAGCAATTTAGGCTGAAAAAAATACCATACTTCCATCATGGTTTTGTAACTCCTCTCTCCTTTTTTTTTCCTTTCTTCAAAAAGCAAATAATTCTATATTAAAATCTGGCAAAACTGGAGCAGCAATGTATCATGAAATGGGTCAAAAACCCAACAAAAAACTCATGACCCCAACTCTACAAATGCTATGAATACTCAAGCGGAGTATAGTAATACTTTTCAGTTTTTGTTTCCATTCCATAAAAATCTAATAGCTCATGTAAGAAAAAGTTTCCAAGAACGCTGCCACATTTTCCAATAAAATGTTGTTCCAAAAAAAACACCAATAAAATGGTGTTTACAGTTTAACTTGAATTAAATAACTTTTCATTTGGTCTAACTAAATACAGCCTCCTAAAATGCATACTTCTGAGAACCAAAATGGGTTATGACATTAGAGTAAAAATACTTCTTTTCTAACTGAGTAAAATCACAATAATAGGAGCATCTTTAGAGAATGTTTCTTATATTCTAAGTAATCATGCCATGAACAACAATACCCTAGCTCCTTTTTATGAAATTATAGTCAATTGTTATTGCAAAAGAGCATCAGATTATGATTATAGTTGCATTTATTAAACTCCTTATGCAAACATTCAAAAAAACAAGCAGACTTACTCAGATGACCATGTAATTTGCTGTAATTCATAAGATTTAAAGTTAAACAATTAAATTCAGTGCCTTTTGAGTAACACATTTGCAAGAAAAACCCCTAGATTTACCTTCCCCCAACTGACAGTCAATATCTTTTGTTTTCTCTCTCTTGAAGCAGAAACAGGAATAAAAATCTCTCACTCTTTCAATTCCTTAACATTTTCCCCATGAAGTACATGGCCATGTAGTACATGCCACCCAATAACTCTCTGAAGAAAATAACTTTATTCTTAGCCCTGTGCCCTCCCAGCCACAGGTCTACAACAAAAGGATTAAAATCTATACAGATATGAAAACTAGAAAAAAGGCTTAAAGTCAGCTAGTCTTTAAATGGAACAAACTGACACGCTGTGCTATACAGAAACAGAGTAATCTTTTTTCCTCAACAAAAATTCAACATGTCTGCAAAATTACTGATTCAATCTGCCATTATCAAAACATGAAACAAAACAAACAGAAACAAAACCCACATATTCTAGAAAATCCAGATGTTTGCAAACTCCCCTAAAATGAGTGGAAAGGAACAATACTTAAATAGAGCACTGACCCAGACATATCACCCAACACAATTGTATATGCAATTCTGGTTTCACCAGAACCTGAAGAAACCTGGAAATAAAGCCTTCTTACTTCCCCTGGTGACAAAATGCTAAAGAATGAGGAGAAAATTTTGCATTTATAAAATGGAAAGGAAGACGCATTATTGATATATACTAGATAAAAGTATTCCATATTAAGTATTATGTCATTTTAGTTGTTATGCAGATCAACTGCAGAGACTATCTATGGGGAAGGGTTAAATAAAATGTGACATAAGACCCATTCTAAACTGCAAAAGTTACTACAAAGCAAAGCCACAGTATCTCATGTTTTCTCAACAATGCCAAACTGAGCAACAGAAGCACCTGAAATCCATGAAATAGTCAAAGTTTGGACTGATACAGACTTCACCTGCTCTGCACCAGACACACTGGGAACGTACCCTGTGGCACAACATAGGGGGTAGCAGCAGCGTGAAAGGGTGTATGAATTTACCTGAACTGTACCAGACAGGACCTTATTCCAGATGTATTAAATTTCAATACAGCATATATTTCACCAGAAATAACCCCAAACTTTACCACTCCCTTACATTTGTTTTAATCTTCACTCATATCCAGCTTACACAACATGAAAACCCTTGGGCAGCCAACAAAAAGATCTAGAGAGAAACTTGTACGAATGAAAGGTCACGGGTACTCCTTCTAATCATTCTTAAAACTGGGAGGGTCAAACCTTACTCAGTTTTTCCAGATACAACACCAAACCCCTATCATCCTGCACTCTAACCTGTACATACTGTGCCAGGATGTAGCTGGGAAAAGTTTTGAAAGCTTCACTGGCCCTGAGAGGGGCTAGTATACCTCAACTCTTTATTTTACTGTCAGTAGTTTGAATATCCCTGACACCACATGAGGCAACTTAAGCTCTGCATTCATAAAATCCTCTTAGTTAACTCCAAAGTAAAAATGCATGTAATAATATTCTTTCTGCAGTTCAGATCTGCAATCCTACAGCAAATTCTACATGTATGCACCAGTTTTATGAAATCAAAACAGCATGAATGGGGTACAAAGCCACACCTCAAAAGGCTGCAGCCTCCCCAATAGACTTGGGTGATGGTTTCCTATCAAAATTAAAGAGCTTCCCCTTCATTTAGGATTTTCTACAAGAAAACAAAATTGCAGGGAGGAAAAAAAACCCAACAAAACTGCCCCACAGCTAAAAACACAGAATTGCCTTTATTTCAGAACTAAACAAAATGCTGTGAACTATATCAGTATGACAGCAGGCTGAGGAGGCATGTAATGTACTTGCTGAGAGATCATTGTAAAGCCTAATATCACTGAGGCTACTCAATGAAAATGAGATATGATGAAAGTTTAAAAAGACACATTAAAAAGACACATACAAAAATTAGAGTCTGATTACAAGAAATAATATTCACATATAACAAGAGACCAATAAAGTACCCAAGCTTAGTAGCAAGAAATCCGCTAACATCTAATGAATTCACTCCCTCAGCTTTTGCTGAATAACTCTCCTTGTATATGCAAATACCGACTCGGGATGTCCTGTTGCAAGGAGTCAGACCAATAAATATATATGGTACCCCTGAAATCGTAATTCCTGTTGTATCATGGATACATACTTCAAAAGGACGTGGCGGAGGAGGTGGCAGGCTTGCAACCTTGGCTGCTCTTTGTCTTTCCACTTCCAGAGCACGTTTACGTGCATTTGCTCGTCTTGGGGGAAAAGACAAAACAAACCACAAAAGAGAAGAGAGACAGAAAATTATTCAAGCAACAGTGACAGAACAGTGCAAAATAAAAGGTAAACCTAAAATGAGATTCCTAAGTACCTGCACTGACTGGTCGGGCCACAGGGATGGGGAAACATATTAAAAAGATAACAGAACTTGGGCTGGAAGGCAGCATTAAAAATTACCTTCTTCAAGTTATGCAAAAACATTAATATATACAAGCATCCCAAAAGCAAGGCAAAATCTCTGCTTTTGACCTAAGTTTCCAGAAAGCATTGTGCATTTCAACCTACTTTAACTGCCTGAATGTAGATATAGTTAACTATTTAATTGGGTTTTAGCTCAACCCAAGCACAACTACACCCAAGAGGAGACATGGCATTTTCCATGCCAGCACAAGTTTGTTCCAATCTGCTTAATAAAAAACAACGTAAGAAGGAAGACCATGACAAATACATTAGGTCATTTTTTCAGGTGGTTAACTCTCCATGAGGAACTGCCCTGACAACATTTCATTTCATATGTCACTGAACTCCTGGAGAGTCTATAGGGCCAGCTTGAATTCCTGACATTCTTGTCTTGGTCTTAAAGCTACAGTTTTTATCAAAAGGCACAAGCTTTGTCCAAGAGCATTAATTCTCTAGCCCATAAAATTTCAAGACTGAAAAAGCTCCAAGCAAGAAGCATCAACATTTTTGCCTTTCACCTTGTGACACTCTAAAATTCATTCTTAATAAAACAAAATAACTATTGCATACCTGGATTGCTCACGAAGTAATTTTTCCTTTTGGTGCTTCTGCTCTATCAGAGCTTTTCTATGTCTTGTCTCTGCTCTTTGTTTCCTTTCCTCTGCTTGCTTTGCCAGAGCTTCTAAGTCAGGTTCCTTAACATTGAAATATTGTAATCACTTAATACAGAATTCCACTTAAATCTCATACTATCAGTATGATATTTCAAACTACATACTGCTGGCAAGAAGCAGAAGCTCTAAACTACCTTCTATGCTATTAAAGTAAAAATACTTTAATAACTTTTCCTTCTCTTCCATCTTTTATTTTCTTCTTTTTCTCCACCAACAACAGCAGCAAACCTGCAACATCCCTCGGCCAATTTAACCAAATATTGATGTAGAAATCCTAGCTTCTTCTACATCAGTTTGATGAAAAGGATAATTAAACATAGTTATTTAAGCACCCTGTAGCAAATGCAAACTAAACTGTGTAGAAGAAGCATGTTAATACCCTTCAGTCATCAACAGAAACATTATTATTAGTTTTCTGTTCCTATAACACTGGTTCCACAGTTTTTTGCTAACTCACCCATCCTAGCATTAGAAGGGACTTTAAAAAGAAGTTGATTTAAAGACACTGATACATGGAAAAGCATAATGCTAATTTACTTGGGTTTAAAGATTCTTACTAATTCAGGTAGTAAGCTACTTTGCAAAATCCTTGTAAGAATCTATGGCTGATTTCTGTAAACCTGATTCAGAGTCAAACCTACAGAAAAACTCTACCCAGAAATCTTAATGATCTCTCAAGCAGAGCCTACACAAGTTATAGGATTTTAAAGAAAGCTAAATCAGTTTATAGGTGCAGAATTAAAGTGACACCCATTTGCAGTCCAGGCAAAGGTCTCTGAAGCCCTTATCAAGGTTTTCCATGTCACTGGAGCACTGAAGGGAAAAAAATGTTAAGTGTATCTTCTTGCCCATAGAAATGATCCATGGTGGAGAAAAAATTACTGTATTACTGGCATAATTGAGAAACTAAGTCATTATGTACAATTTAGTCAAATAAAATCGTACATGATTGTACAAGCTAATACAAAATAACTTTAAAATCTGCCCAGCAAAAGCCTTCACATATAGGCCCATAGACTATCTTGCGGGAAGCTACCTGCAAAAAAATACACAACCACTTTTAAAAAGTTTCCATTCTTAAAAAGTTGTCTATTTAGGCATCAGGACTTCAAAATCTAGAATGTCAAAGGAAAAACCAAACAAACAGCAATCTTGGGATTTCTAAAACATTAAAATTGTCTCTGACAATATATGCTGGTATTGGCTGGGATGGAATTTTCTTTATAGTGGCTGGTATGAGGCCATGCTTTGGATTTGTGCTGAACACAGGGTTGATAATATAGAAAGGTTTTTGTTATTGCTGAGCAGGGCTCACACAGAGCCAAGGCCTTTTCCGCTCTTTGTGCTGCCACACTGTCAAGAGAGTGGGGGGTACATGGGAGGCTGGGAGGAGGCACAGCAAGGACAGGTGATCCCAGCTGACCAAAGAGATATTCCACACTATCTGACAGCATGCTCAGTACATAAAGTGGGGGAACAAAGGAGGAAGGGGGAGATGTTTGGAGTGATGGTGGCCGTCTTCCCCAAGTAACCATTACACACGATGGGTCCCTGCTGTCCTGGAGATGGCTGAACACCTGCCTGCCCAAGGGAAGATGAGAATGAATTCCTCATTTTGCTTTGCTCTGTGTATGGCTTTTGCTTTCCCTACTGAACTGTCTATATCTCAATCCATGAGTTTTCTGGCTTTTACCCTTCTGATTCTCTCCCTGATCCCACTGATAAGGGAGTGAGCAAGCAGCTGCCTGCTGCTTGGCTGCTGGCTGGGGTGAAACCATGACACAATAATATTAAGCTCACTTACATTTTCCTTGGCCCGTCGATGACCCTCCCCAATTGCTCTTAAGCTTGATAGATACAGTTCTTCCAAGGCTTTCATCTTCTCATCCTGTGCCTTCTGCCATTCAGCTCTCAGTGCCTCCTCTAACTGATGCAGTTGTTCTTCTCTCTTCTGCTTTACCTTCTGCCTTATCTGGTAGGAGATATACTTCTGCTGCTCTCTGACCTGTAGAAATAGCATTTATGTTCATCAGCAATTCAAGACAAGCATAATACTTTTTGCAGCAAGACTTTCCACAACACAGTTTACTCTACTTCCATCTTTCTATCTCATCTACTAGTCCATTCACAGTCTATCCAGAAAATACTTTCAAGTTGCTCCTACCCTTTTCCAAAATTAATATATAAAATAATAAATTTAATCTCAATTAAACACTTTGGTTAAAGTCCAAAAAATTACATACAGGTGACAAACCGCAAACACTGCTTGGATATCCTCCTCTCCAAAAATATAACACAAAAATCTATGAAAGGCTCCTATTACAATTCAAGATTTAACAAATCAACTATACCGAAAACTTAGTATACATAGTTTATTATTTTCCACTTTGTATTTTAGGCTTTTTTTTTTTTACATAATGGGTTGTCAAGCACTGGAACAAACTGCCCAGGGAAGCAGTTGAGACACCACCCCTTGGAAAGTTCAAGACATGTAGATGTGGCACTTAGGGACATGGTTTAGTGGTGGACTTGGCAGTGCCAGACTAATAGCTGGAGATAATGATCTCAAGGGTCTTTTCCAACATGAAAAATTCCACCATTCTACAATACTATTACCTTGAAATTTAACTTACAGGAAATAATCTTTTCACTTCTCTTAAATTATTTGTTACAACATCAAATTAAATACAGCACATGGAAAAATACCACAGGCATACCTGTTGTAACCTTAGTTTTCTTCTTCTTTCGTATTCTTCTTTCAGAAACATGGCTTCTTCATTAGGACTAAGCCTCAATGTCCCAGCTGTTGCAAGTTTCCTCTTCATCTTTGGATATGCTGAATAATCAACTTCTACGAGAACAATGCAAAGAAAAAAAGAAATTATGCATAAATGACACTGGCAAAACAGCTATAAAAACAAGATACTGCCATAATGTTGTCAACTTTATCATGGTATCTGCATGTGAGAGCTACAACTGTTCACGTCTGCTCCAACTAGAGGCTGGAGGTGACATCTCAGAAGCCATTTCCAACCTTAATAACTCTTAACTGTAATCAACAGCATTGGCTCTGTCTTTGTCACAGTCACAAAAGATAATGCTTTTGAACTTCTTTGAGCTATGTACCAAACACTGCAACAGCATGACATTCACAGTCCGCTCTGCAGGCCAGCCACCAACATTTGCAAAGAAAAGAGCGAACACCATTCTGCTCCTGGGAAGATTTAAAAACAAACCCACAAACTACTGAAAAGCACACGGCACAGTAAAACAGGCTGGCCACTCAGATGATTTCTACTGAAATACTCTCATAACTGTTGCAGAGAAGAGGTAAGACACCACAGCAATTTTGTTGATGTTTTTGGGTGCACTCCAAGGTTTCCTGGTGTACAGGCTCTGAAACTCTAGCAACAGCCTGCATAACAAGCATTTCACTGGAAAACTGAAAGTGCTCACTAACGATTTTTTATTCAAATTTACCTAAGAAGACAAATTTCAAATTATGTTTCCTTCAAAATTTTACCGCTAAATTCTAAAATTCCCCTCCCCCCAAACAAAGCAAGATTTCTACTGAATCTTTAAATAGTTATAACCCTGAAAATATTCACACGAAACTAGCAAACAAAGACTTTCAAAAGCCACTGTTTGATTCTAAAAAAATCTATGAGAGTTTAACCAACATATCACACCTGAAAACTATTATTTTCAGCATCATACATAATGATTTTGGTATATCTAGAGACACAGTATCACGGATAAAATAGCAACACTGTAAAGAAATCAGGCGAGGTGTAAAGCCGAAAATCACTTTCGGTAAAGGGTTATTAAAGCAATGAATCCCAAGCTCTTTACAGCATAAAAAGGGTCAGTAGCATCCTGGATCCTGCTAGCCCTCCCTTAGTCACCCGATGAGCTACAGAAGTTTATCACGGCACAAAATTAAGCAGCAAATTACTACAGTCTCTCTCTCACACGCACACACACTCCTAAAGAGAGGAAAAATGTACAGGATGACCAATGCAGAGCCTGGATCCAAAGGCTAAGAGCAGAGGTGAGACTGCGAACGCCGCGCTTGCCCGGGCTCAGCCGCAGCACGGGGCGGGTGGTGCGGGGCGGAGAGCGACGAGAGGGCCCCGGCAGTCACCGGGACATCCGCCCGAGCTGAGCAGGGACAGCGCGGGGGAGCGGGGGGCGGGAAGGGAAGGGAAGGGAAGGGAAGGGAAGGGAAGGGAAGGGAAGGGAAGGGAAGGGAAGGGAAGGGAAGGACAGACCCGTCTCTCACGCACCCGCCGCCGCCCGGGCCCTCCCGCTCACCGAGGCGCCAACGGCCGCCGCCCCCGCCACGTGACCCCGCGCCCCCAACGAGCCGCCAATAGCGCATGCGCCGCCGCCCGCCCCGCTGCCCGAGCCCCGCCCCCGTCCCCCTGTAGCCAATCGGGACTCGGGACGGCGGCGAGGGGCGCGCGCGCCCAATATAAACGCGGCGCTGGCCGCTCTGAAGGCGTTTGTCCCGCAGGGTGTCCTCGGGGGTTCCTCTGTGCCTGTCAGTCTCTTCCCCGTGGCCGATCTAAGTGCGGGCGGTGCCTTGCTCGCTTAACGCGGCACGTGCAGAAATAGATGCAGGGGAGGGGTTCGTCACCCCGGCTCCCTCACAACACCGCCCCCCGAGCCCGCGGTCGGAGCTTCCAAGCGCTCGCGTGGGAGGGGCACTCACTAGCCGAGCTTGAAATGCTGAGAGCGGAATAAAAGCGAATCCTGTTAGTTCTGCCTCACTAGTGTTACTCCTATGCAGCTTCCCTGCTCAGAGCTGGTTTCGGTTGCACTGTTTCAGTAGAAGGAGTATCATAGAATTACAAAATGGTTTGGCTTGGAGGGGGACCTCGAGGATCATTTAGTTCCATCCCGTCCAGGCTATGGCAGTGCCCTGTACGTGTCGTGCTGCTCTGCCTCTCTTCTAGGCTTCACATGGCTTCTACAGTAGGCACATCTGTGCTGCTGCTTCAACCTTGTAGCTAAACCTTTCCTTTATAAACCTAATTTTTAACTAACGTCTGCCCCTTGTAAATTTGATGGAATGCTTGCTTCTTTGCTGGCAGCATGTAGTGACAGGACAAGGGGGTAATGGGTTTAAACACATTAAAAGAAAATCCTATTTAAAGAGAATAGGTTCAGATTGAACATTAGGAGGAAGTTCTTTGCTATGAGGATGGTGAGGCACTGGCACAGGTTGCCCAGAGAAGCTGTGGCTGCCCCATCTCTGGATCCCCCAAGAACAGGTTGGGTGGGGTTTTGAGGAACCTGGTCTAGTGGAAGGTATCCCTGCCCATTGCAGAGGGGTTGGAAGCGGACAACATTTAAGGTCCCATCCAATCCAAACCGTTCTATGATTCTTCTTCACACTTCACCTTTCTTTCTAAAAGGAGCCATTTATCATATGTGCAAGATTTGCAGCAGCTGGGATTTGAAAGTAGAAATGTCATATATCCTTGATTTATGAGGAATGTAAATGTTATTTGTATTGAAGGAAACAATTCTGCCACACATACAAATGAGGCAAGAGAGGCAGTTAGTCTGTTTCTTTACATGGAGCACATCCTAAGGGTCTGACCTGCTGCTACAAGAATGAAAGAAATGTTTGTGACTTAAAACAGGCCAGGAACAAAACAGATAATCAATTGTCTTGGGATGAAACTTGAGTGCAAAATATAGCTACTTTTTTGGCAGTTTCTTATAGAAAAAGAAAAAACACATTTTATGCTAGGAACTAGCTGTCATAGTAACCCGCCACATTGTGCCCTACAGGACTGAAACCAGGAGGGCTGAGATTACTCTGTAAAATTTATGGTTTGGTGCATGCAGATGCATGGCCGCAAAGAAAATAGACTAAAAAAAAAAAAATTGCAAGAGAAAAGACATCAGCATAAGGAGAAGAGGTAACATAGCAGTTTAATGTGCTTTCTTCCCTGCCTTCTGCATTTCACTGCTAAGCTACCTTCTCTTTCACAGATTTTTGCTTTCTGACAAGTGCCTGCAACTTGCTGCAAACTACTGACTGGAATAGCTAGTTAATATCTGATTGTACTTTAGACACACAGTTGCTTCACAGTATGCATATTGAATAAATTAGAGTTGAGAAGTGCACTTCCAAATGTGTTTTCTAGTCTCCTTATCGGATTTTTTTGTCCTTCAGCATTTTCATTATGGTAGTGATCTCCTCAATAACATCACTTGTAAATAGCTTTATCCTGCAGGTCAACAGGTGAAAAAAAAGTCAAGATAGTCTATTAAGAGAGTCATTGTGATTATGGATTTTAATCCTCTACTTATAAAATGTGAAAGAGGTCAAATATATGCTCCTCAATTATACTGTTGAATAAAAGGGATATTATGAAACCAACATGTGCTGGGTAAGAATTTTGTTTCAAGGGTGCTTTCTGTCATGGTCTTGCAGAATTATTTCTGCTATTGTTTAATTTACATACATATACTGAAAACCGGGAATTTTAATACTGTAATGTTTTCTACATTTGACTACTCACGCTTAAATTACAGTATTACAGACCTGCATTAATTCCCTCCCCCTGTGAAGTAGATGGTGTTCCTTTTATAAAAGGTGAATAGTGATGCAGCAGTACTGGTGCATTTAGTCAGGGGTACATAAAAGCGGAGGTACTGAGCTTCAATTATTGGTCACATTCCTCTTGAGGAAAAGAAATTACACTTGCAGGAATTATCTACAAAGTCCCAAGATATCCACTGGAAATTTGAATTTCTTTTCAGAAATATAATGCTTTTCATATGTATAAAATGTCTCAGAGTGAATTTACATGAAAACACAGATTTAAAATAAATCATATTAAATTAATGCATTTGAGGTTGAAGAGGGGTTGTATGACTCTAAAAGCCACTGATGAGTTGGCCTGCAGTGCACAGTCAGGAGCTCAAATCACAGTATAGGCCTTGTGCTACTCCAGAAAATGTCTTTTGAGAGCAGACTGCTTGTACTTCCCTATCACAGAGGAGGTTTATTCCATCAGTAGATGAACCATTGCAAGAGATTTTGGCCCAGGCTCCTTGCCTCGGTGTGCTCTGTGGGGCCGTTTGGCCCCAGTGTGAGATCCATGAGGCTGGAGGTGACCTTGTGTGGCCTGAGAGAAAATATTCCCTGTCTCACAAGAAAATATTCCCTGTCTCACGGGCAGGTCGAGCAGACCAGCATAAGCAACCTATATCTTTTACTACACTTGCTCCTTTCTTCATCAGAAATTCTTCCCTGTCCGCTCATGGCTCTCAGTTGCACAGGGGAAAGGTGACTTTGCAGGCTTCCCTGCATCTTTAGCAGGGAAGCCCTGGTTTTAAAGGTTTTCTGCAAGCTAGTAAGGGAACAGTACAAAAACCTGACAGCTCACCCTTGCACGAAATAAGTACTCTCTTAATAAGGACTTGGCACCCTGCATGAAATAAGTATTCTCCTTGAAAAACCCTGAAGGAAGAGCTTTAGAAACTGTGTCACATTCAGACACGAAATTCACCTGCCCTGAGTCCTCTAACATATCATTATACATTACTGCAGTTTCTGCTTCTAGTCTCCTTCTTGTGATAACTGAATTATCAGAATGAAATGAGAATTTATCTCAGTCTGAATTCGCCTTTCTCTGCATTCAGTATTCCTCAAAGTCACATCCCACACTGTCATATAATCTTAAAAGTTCCCCTATGGTTCATTTTGGTTTGATGTGTGATTACTTCCCCATGCCGTTCTTTTTAGCACCTGGCACCTGATGTCTAATTATCGTGACCGCCAGGAGCTGACAGGACGTGGTTTTACAAATGTTTGTAATGCTTCAGTTCACACATTTTCAAAACTGCAAAGTGCTTTTGTTAAATAGTTTGCAATAAGTACGTTCCTGTGTAAGCTTTGCAAAAAGACAAGGAGTCTCCTCAGAAGGAAGAAGGGCTAATCTTTATTTTTGAGGCTGACTAATCTACCATGGTCAGCTTGTGCAAGCACAGCCTATAATAGTTTCTGCCTGAGACTGATTTGGAGATACATTTTCTTGACAGATGTGGAAGAATAGCTTTTGTTATTATACTCTATGTCATGTAATAGAATGCTGCAAAGCTACATTTTCAGTGCAAAAAAAAAAAAAAAAAAAAAAAAAAAAAAAAAAAAAAAAAAAAAAAAAAAAAAAAAAAAAAAAAAAAAAAAAAAAAAAAAAAAAAAAAAAAAAAAAAAAAAAAAAAAAAAAAAAAAAAAAANAAAAAAAAAAAAAAAAAAAAAAAAAAAAAAAAAAAAAAAAAAAAAAAAAAAAAAAAGAAAAAAAAAAAAAAAAAGAAAATATAAGTAAAACATGAAGAATAAAAGGCTATGTAGCTGGCAAAAGGATAATTATATGTAATTAAATATAGTATACATCCTAAAATTATTGTTTTGGAAGAAAATGTCTGTAAATTCAGATGTGACTTTGGACATATATAGTGTTGTCTTACAGACAAAAAAAAAGGCAGGCTGTCCTATGACATTGAGCTAAAAGTTCTTATTAAGAAACCAGGCTTATTCTCTGTCACAAAGGCTCCTGGGATTTCACCCAGCATCCTTGGCCCAGCTTAATGATTTGGGTCAGTGTAAAACCACCAGCCTTGGGGTGGTAAGACCAGCAAAAAGTGACTAAGAACTTATCATTCATGCATGAACCACTGTGCTGCCTGAGGTCATTTTAAAATAGGCTCTCAAACAAATGAAGCCTCCCAAACCTTGAAGTCAACAGAACTGAACTGGATTCAGGTTTTTACAGGCAAAAATGAGCCTTGTGTACCTGTTGTATAGCCTCAAAACCTAATTACTCTGTGATTAGTCTGCCTAATTACTCAGTGATGCCAGCATGGGTAGACCTCTACAATGAAAACTTGGTGTGTGCATATTCATTTGCTAAAATTCTTGTAACTTGCATTCAGCTTTCTAAAATATATGAGAACCACAAACAGAATTTTCTCCAATTCTTAAAATAGGCATAGTAACTATGTGCACTAATAGGCCAGTTATGCTCAGTCCAGTGAGTTTACAGCTGGTCTTTGCCAGCTTTTCTCAACTACTGTGCCATATCTTGTTTGGCTAACCTTCCTGAGCTGCTTCTTCT